TTGCACTGATCGTTCCTATAACAGCTACATAAAATTATGAAGCTATATACAATTTATAATAAACTTGGTCTGCATACGGATAAAACAAGTCTGCATGCATGAATTTAACGACGTTCATACAGACGAACAGGCTGACAGGCAGACGAACGAATGTCTCTATCGATTCGTACCGCTCTGCCGATTTCATACAATTTCCTTGCAATATCTTTATCATCATGAAAGTTATTTCAGTAACATTCATTTTTGCACTGATCGTTCCTATGACAGCTATATAAAATTATGAAGCTATATACAATTTATAATAAACTTGGTCTGCATACGGATAAAACAATTCTGCATGCCATGTTTAATGTGCCTAGCTGTTTAGGTTAAAAATTTAACGACGTTCATACGGACGAACAGGCTGACAGGCAGACGAACGAATGTCTTTATTATACATTGGGTCTGTTCTCGATTAATTTGTTGAGAAGTTACAAAAGACATAAGTATATACCAATTAATATAAGTATTATAAGTAGCATATGTAATGTATTTTCACTTTCGAAACTTTGCTGTCTGAAATGCCTTCAATAATCACTTAAGTTGGTATTGAATTAAGCAGGGGACCAGTTGTTATGTTTGTTGGCATGAAACACAATATATCTTTAGTGGTAAAAGTAATATTCTTATATTCGGGTTGGTGACAAGCGAATTCCCTTGATTTTAATGTCCGAATTAAGTGACAAAATGATGACCTTAATCATAATTCTACTGATTAAGAATGTATACTACTTAAATGTATGTGTATGTAGGTTTGACTCGACTGAAGGTTGTGACATTCAAATTCAAATTCCATTTTCAATCTGCTTGCAAATACAAAATACTTGGAGAAATGCACTCTCGGTTGCCTGACAACTTGGCGTGCCATGTGGAGATGCTTTCTTGCTTTTGGCGACAAATCAACCAACCAAGCACATTATACATACATTTATATACAGGAATGCATTAAAATAATGAAAGATATTATATTGCACGAAACAGAAACGAACTGACTACGGAAATGGGAATGGAAAACGGGCATGTCAGGTTGTTTGTCGGCTGTGTCTACAAATCAATAAGTTTTGTTTGCGACGACGACGACGACGACGACGACGACACTATTATGGCCAATGATAAGCTGTATGTAGGCGGCTGGCTGGCAAGCAACAAAAAAAAAAAGTTATTGACAGTGTCACGGTGGCGTATACGTAACCTTGCCTCATTTTCTGCTCAGCTGAAGTATGCATTTCTATGAATCTAAGTATATGGCATGTGTTCATATACATATGTATTTGTTAAATGATTGTTTGTTAGCGCACGTGAATGAACTTGTTTGCGCGCAACAATAATAACAACAGCAACAACACCAAAAATTGGCAAATTTCTTTGCAACTGTTTCCGCTTTCATGTCAAATACAAGAAAACACAGAAATGAATTTCGCTTTTGCTTTTTGTAGAGTCCCCCTCAGACCCCCCAACCACACACCCATATCATCATCATCAGAAAGCTGCCGCGCCACTCAACGCCAATCAATTTATATACTTTATTCGTTCGTTCAGTCAAGCTCGATTTTAGTGTTTGCTTTGTTCCTTCTTGTTTGTTGCTTCCAAAAGAATGGCGAATTCCGAATGCCACAGTCAGTCCGTCAGTCAGCCATTCAGTCTGTCAGTCAGTCAGTCGCGTGTCAAATTTAACTATTTGCAGAGCTACCCTCATCCTTCTGCCCAACTCTCCACCATCCGTGTATCTCCTATATCTCTGTTACATTCAGATACAGCCCACCTACTGGGGGAGGGAATCAAGTCTATCTATCTGAGTGTGTGTGTGTGTGTGTGTTAATATGCGATTTATACAATAACATAAGTATTACCGTTTATTTGATGATTGCCAATTTTCCGTGTGAAAACAATTAGATAAGCAGCAATGTGTTATGTGGATAGTTATATAGTTGTTTAGCTGATGGCTTGATTTATATGGAGGGGGAATCGAAACACTGTTGCTGGCACAGCACCACAAACAAGGGGGAATAGTTTCTAAAATGAAGGCTGGCTAAGCCGGAATTAGGAAGCAAACTTTTAAAACTTTATACAGCCCCAAATCTACTTGTAATCAGGCATATATAAGTATATATAATACTTTGGGAATTCGGGGCGTTCAAACCAGTTCTGCATTTCAATTTAATTTGTAAAGCAAAACATCGCCATTTGTTTTGGCGATCTTGATTCTGATTGAAATCTCATCGATTCCGTAATTTTTTTTAATAAGTTTCGATGGCAGAATAGCATCATTGTTATTAATAATGAGCTACATAATATGTTGATTTAAATTGCTGATAGATTGGAAGAGCGGATTTGTCCATTATTTTGAAATTCGTTGACAATAAGGTAAGGCTTTTAAAAGCGATAAATTATAAGCGGAATTGAGAAGCAGAAAACCATTCCAATTCCGTAACAATAATTAAACTTTCTATTAAAACACAAAGGTTTTAAATTGAGAAGATATATTCGAGTGATATTGTTGAGTTCTAGAAAAGATGGATAACATTTTGGTCACATTTTCATTTCCAACATGTCAGATCTTTTGTTTACGATTTATATAGCTGTTTCGGAGTTTTAAAGATGTCTCAGTTCATGTAGCTTGGATGCATTAATGAAGACACTTTCGATCAAACGAAGTAGACATAATCTCTATGTAAGCCTATTTAAAGGTTACTTATATGTTACAAGTGGACAGGACAACATTCGAAAGCAAATATCGCATCGCAATTATGTTTAAAATTTGCTTGAATCAATCAATAAAACGTTCAGTATAAGCTTATATTTAAAATTATATTTTTAAAAATGTTCTCCTGGAACATAAAATGCATAACAAAGTGATTTATGGATTTTGAACAAGTCCTCCAGTTTTTTTTTATTCGAATAACTTGTTTAATAATTATAGATGATTTAAATTATTCTATTTTCTCTCTTAACCGTCAATATAATGGAATTTTATCCCCTTGTTACGTTATATATTTCTTTTTAATATTTTCAATTATATTATATTATAATTTTATATTGGTGTTCAAAATTTGAGGAACTGCTGAAGCCATTGGAGAAATAACCAAATAACTGTATGTAACATCGTTTTGTTTTCGTTGATAATTGATATTTATGGGTGTAAAATTTTCATACAATTGTAAACAACAATTGAAATTTGATGTTCCTAATGGTTAGGTAAACGGTGTTGCTCCTCAAAACAATTATCAAGAAGTTCGGGGCTCATGAAATTCGACGATTGAAAGAGGTTTGCTAATTATTTTCGAGACAAGAGCAGTCGTTTGAATCGTTTTCATAGTTTATTGATCATATTCAATTGCATTTAAAGATCAAATTATAATCGAATATCGCTTAATTCAGCGCAGAATCTAAACCGGACTCGGAGCTACGAGTTCGCACTTTTAAAAAATTGTTGATCAAACAAATTATAAATCTTATAAGCATAATTGTGAGATGAAAAGTGCATGTTTTGATTCACATTTTTGGAAAGCATACCTTATGAGCAGAATGATAATATAGCTGGGAAAATATGTACACCTAATTCTGTTTTTACACGGTAGATTGGTTTAGATTGTTTGCAGAAAAAGTCGTGTGAAAAAAAACCGTGTAAAAAAAGACATTGATCATATGATATTTTGATATATACATTTTTATTTTTGAGCTTTACTATAAATTTAAGAAATGCTTTGTAAACCTAAGTAACGTGAATATAAAAATAAAGCTACCTACTACTACTACTGCATTTTTATACTCTGTACATAAAATATTTAAGAGTATATTAGGTTTGCGGGACGTGAAAAATGTAACAGAAGGAGGCGCGGCAAGACGAGTCGATCTAGCCCTGTCTGTCTGTCTGTCCGTATGAACACCTGAATCTCAGAGACTATAAGACCTAGGAGTACCAAATTTTAGTCCCGGATGCCTTATGTGAATACGCAGAAAATGTTTTTTTTTTTTGGAATTTCCCTCTCTTTCGCCCGTAATTAGTGATTTTTCATAGCTCTCGATTTCAAACTCAAATTTTGCAAAATTTTGGGGGCAGTTAGTGATTGTGAGTCCGTATGCTAAGTTTGATAGACCGATTTAACAGGAAGTTATAGCCAGCTGCCCGCAGCGGTTGATGCTGGTGCTTTTGTTTGACAGCAAACATGCTCACACAGACACGAATAGACACGCATAGACATGCATACACTGGTAAAATCGCTGAACATTTTTTTTAATTTGCAAAGTTTTTTTAATTTCTATCCCTATTTGTTTAAATTTCAAACCGTGTTAAATCAAAATCGTGTACAAGAAAGATCGTGTAAAAAGAGAATTAGGTGTATACTATTTGTTCGGACTAATCCGGCTGAAAAGTGCTCTTCTTCAACATGAGTTCATCTAAAATGATCGAAATTACTTTAGCCGTGACATATTCTAAATAGTAGATGCTTCCATAGAGTGTTTGTTTGTTTTCTGCCAAATCTCTGAGTAATTTCTTTGGGTCGCGTGAGCTGTAAATGGTGCACTACTCCCATATGTATGCATGTTTGTACTCGTATATCGAGGGAGAACATAAAGTTGATTCCTAGGTGAGACTGTGTGTGTTCGTCGCACAAAATCAATGCCAGCGAGTTGGGTGCCAAGAGTTGTTTGCTGAGTTACTTCTACAATACTGTATGTATGGTTGCACGGCAATTATGTAATATCTATGGAGCGCAAAACCGTGCGACCTATTTATGGGGGTGCGAGCCTCCGAACTAACAACGAGTGGGGGGAGGGTGCTTAGCGATACGCACGGTCTTGAGAAACAGCGACAACGACAGCGAGCACTACAGTACAGAGCACAGTAGCACGAGAAAGGGAAACGAGCGCACAATTTGTTTTTTTTTTTTTTGTTCTGTGGGGGCGTGGGGAAGGGTGTGAATTGTTTGTGTGCTGATTAAGCATTTTCAAAGATATACCAAATTCGGCCACAAAGAAATCGCGCAGTTTCAATTTGGATTTCTTGGGCTCCTCTCGGGGATGATGCACGGTTATCTGATCGCCATCTGCCGAAATAAGGGTCTCGCTGGGTGGGGAAATCGAGTATTGTTGCAATAGAATACGCTGCTGTTCGGTCAGATCGTCCAGCGGATCATGCGATGTTGAGCCCATGGCCGTGCTGCTGCTGGTAATCGGCGAGGAGGCGCCGGCAGCACCGCCTCCAGCAGCGGCCAATTGCTGTGCAATGAGCAGCTTCTGTGCATGCTCTTCGGCTTCTTTTTGTTTTTTGAAATCTTTTCACAATTGCGTGCGAGTTAGTAACACAATGGGTTATAAATAGAATAATAATTATGCGTAATTATAAACATTAGAAACAGAAATTATAAATCAAAATTTATATATATATAAATACTTATATTTCAGGGTTCTCTGGAATTCTTACAGGGAAAGGATCCAACTTTAATGCCAAACAATTGCAAAGGTTCGGGAGTACTAGAAGGCGCCAGAGAAAGAGAGACAGAGAGCGTGCCCAAAGGAGCAAGAGCACACATCTTTAAACATAAGTTCTTTCTATAAACCCCTGTTCTAAGATATACTTATTTTATTTTAATAATTTACAACAACAACATAAAAACGCTTAAGAAATACATTTGAAGACATTCGCGATCGGTTAAGTTCGACGACAGCTGATTCCCATTAGACAAAGAAAAAGTAGCGTTACCTAGTTAGGAATTTCAATTATTTGATGGTAAAAATGTTTTCTGCTAATTTTCTTTATGCACGAAAAAATGTAGCATGACGCACGACATTTAATTTTATCGGTCCGGAAATAAATATGTTTCACAATTTACGTCCGAATCTGATAAGCGCTGAAGAAACGAAGAACCCAGCAAAAGTATTTTATTTTATTATAAATTGTTTTCCGTCTTGTAATGTGAGTTCGGCCTCGACTTTATAGATTAACATGAATGTACTTTTTGGGGCTAATTTGGGGCAGAACTTAAAACCAAATACTGGACATACAAGCCCATTATTTTCATTGATTCGCAACAACTATAGGTTAAAATATTTGCTGCATATTTTAGTGATATTTTGCAAAATAAAAATAACCCGATCTGAATGCGCCTTTTTGATTCTTTAAGATAACTATTTTTTTTTATTATTATTATAATGTTGCGAATTGTAGTGCAGATTTGGCCATAACACGACAGTTGGACATTTTTTATGTATGAACCCTAGTCTTACAGGAATTTGTAGACTGCAAGTAGTTTTTTTAAATAGTCATGCTTTTGCGATGCGCCGTTATTCGAACCGAGTCAGGCACGAACTCAGATTGTGGGATTCCTCTAAGCTCGTTCAGCTATACTAGGCCCCTAAGAAAATTATTGGAATAAACTATATCTAGTGTAGATCTATCTTGATTAGATGATATATTGCATTATTAAAACGCAATCTTAATCTTGTCCTTCAGCCCATTCTTTGTAAGTTCAGTAGATTAAGTGAAACTGTAAAATCTTTTGTATTTTGGCTGCAGAACTTAAATATGTTGTCTTGTTTTTAGATAGCTAGGCATTGCAGACATTTACTTGTAATTATTTTTTTTTTTATTTTTCTAGATTAGTTACGGAAGTGTTGCCTGATTCATTGTGACTGTGGAAGCTTTTGTTCTGCATTCGCTGTCACTATTTATAGCTTAGTGATTAGTTCTGGCATAGAAGAAACCTTATGCAAGGCGTTAGACCCATAATGGAATGCAATAACACATAATGGCTTATCTTTACAAAACTGTTACAAAACCTTGACGGCTATATAATACGCCTGAAGGATGCAATTATGGACTTGTATGTAATATCAGAATTCGTTCAAATTCATTCAGACAATTTAGATGGCAGGGAATGAGAGCTTATCTAATAGGATCTATAAATATATTGTGAAACTTATGCCTAATGGAATTGAAATTGGAATGGGTGACCATTATATGAAGTCTGCAGATTGCCTGCAAATTACACGAGAAGTGACAAATCGATGGGACGAATGCGTCTGTGGGCCTAAACCACTTAATGTGCTGTAAAATTCTATTTGGAATCGCAATTTGAAAAATTACATTTGTAACGAACGTCGCCGTTGCTATTCTTGATGGTGATGGTGATGATGATGATAGGACTGATGGGACTGCTGGTGTTGGCGTTGGAGACGGTGATGACGCCACATGAAAAAAGCTTAATGACAATTTTGCGTAAGCGTTGACGAAAATACAGAAAAAAGTATGTAGTATGTATTATATGTGAGATGATGGAAGAAAGTAGACAGGCACTGGAGTGTGGTAGTTCTGGTGTTCAAAGTGCATGACCCAACACACACATTAGCCTTGAACTGCTGCCATCCATGGGTAGAGACGCCGTGAAGTATGCCACACTGGCTCCTACTTACACGTGGCATGCAAATAATGTTGTAGCTCGCCAAGCGGAAATAGACGAGAGCGCAGAGTCCTAGAGTCAAATGTTGAAATGCAATTTCAGCAGAAACCCACCATCAAGGAAATGGAAAATGCAAATGGAATGGCATGGCATGGCATGGAGAATGGAGAAGGTGAAAATGAAAATGATGGGGCAACTGCACTCATTGGCTGCAAATACATTGCATGCTAAGCGGCTTAGACGCCTGGGGCTTTGCCAAAGGTTAGCTCACGAGCCAACTAATAAGCTCGACTAGGCAATGAAAAACTAGACAGTTGGATGACATAAGACGCAACGCATCGTGACATATACATGCATACATACTTGTATATACTTGTATGTACATATATCGATGGGTTACATTTATAGCTCAAAACATGATAGAAGGAAGACATGACAACTTGAAAAACTATGCATTTAATTGTTTCTAGGCGAATATTTTAATGAATAGAAAGATTCAAGATTTTGTAAGTATTTTCTTGATTTCCATTATTAGTTTCAATTCGCTTGTTTTACAAACACCTTTTATGCTTTTTCAAAGTATATTGTGTTCGGAAATAACGTACTTTTATTTACTCATTATTTTTACGCTTGGACTACAAGTATATGACCATTGCAGTTCGGTTCTGATATTCATTGACAGTCTTTAATGAGTTCGCGTGTGCACGGTGGAAGCACCTTTCGATAATGTTGGGGGGTGGCGGTCGTAAATTGTTCAATGCCTTTCCCATTTTTATCAGCTATTAGGTGCACGACTCATGTGATTTCGAAACAGCGGTAACTCTATTTGATTCATTATCAATGGTGGGCGCTTGTGGCTGCTATGGCGTCATATAACAGATAACAGAAACGTTCTGCAAGCATGTAATTGCCTTCGCACCGATGAAAACGTCCAAAATTTAGTTCACTACTTCTTTATAGTAGTTATACGTACTAATCGTTCTCTAGTTTATACGATGGTTCAACTTAGTTTATTAGATTTGGTTTGTTTGTTTATCTTCCGTTCCTCGTCATGGAAGTTTTATTTTATGCTTAAACGAACCATTTCGGGACTGGAAAGAGTTGGTAGCCGACATACTTATATGGTTATATCTTTATGTCAACAACAACAGAGTTCTTCTGTTCACAGGAAGGAACGAAATGATCGCCCATTCCATCGACATACTTGTAGCCACAGATTTGCATTTCAACCAATTATAAATTGTGCGAATGTCAAGAGTTTAGTTTGAAAGTACGGGTAGTTCGGATCAGGCCGACACAGCTCTGGCGACAATAAACAGAATGTACAAATATTGTTATACAAATTAAAGAAGAGCTGCAAACGGAATGCTTCGTATGTTTAGAATGGCTTTATGCCGTATGTCCAAAAAGACTTTCTCCTTTCATTGTTATTTTAAAAGCGTCCTGTAATTGTATTTAACAGTCGAATCGCTCTCTTATGTAAAAATTGCACAGAATGCCAGTGGGTGGCACTGTTAATGTTTGCATAATGTTGTGGATGAAACCACAAAACGTAATCAAGAAGAGCAGCAATAATAATAACAGTAACAATAACAATAACAGCAGCAGTGGCAGTGGCAGTAATGTGGAAAACAACAACAACAACAGCGCAGCGCAGCGCACTTGTTAGTTGCATTTTAGAAGCAATGAAAATCAATTAAAATTAATTGATTCAAAAGTCAAATTAAAGAGGGAGGCCTTTACAGCATCAGTTTGGCCCCATTGGTCTCTGTTGGTCGTTGGGTCGTCGTTGTCGTTGTCATCGTCATCATCGTCGTCGTTCCGTTGCTCAATTTGTTTGCCATGCTCTGACGTTGTTGTTATTGTCAGCGACATAACATAACTATCATGTTGTTGTTGTTGGTATTTCTGTTGAGTGCGTCATTTGTTTGTTGCATTTGTGACCGTGGCTAAAGGTGTTGTTGTTGTTCATGTTTTCATAGTGTCTTCATGTTTTTTTTTTTTGTTTTTTGCAAATAGATGCTAAGACAATAAGGAATATGCAATCAGAATTTACAAAACAACGTGCTCTCGCTCTCTTTCTCTCCCTTCCTCTTTCTCGCTCACTCTTGCGCACGCATGGTAGTCAGAGAAATAGGTTATAAACTAAAAATTGGACAGTTGGATAAATAAAAACGCTACAACTACAACAACTAATTTGGCTTATTCATGCTCACACAATGCCATACTACATATATGTATACTTACTTTCCAGCAGCCGCTGAATGAGATTGTCCACATTCAAATCAAAATCGCCCATTTTAGCAGCTTGGCTTAGTTTTTAGTTGTTTAGCGGTTTGCTGGCTTGGCAAAAACAAAAACCAAAAAAAAAGTAGTGAGCAACGTGTGTTGAAGTGTTTGTCGTCGTTGCCGCTCGCACGCACAGCTGTTGTCGGTTTTTATGTTGCGGCCCGTCACAACTACAACAACAACACGCACAACACTTTACACACACGCATAAGCGCACAAATACACATACATATAAATAACAGAAGCTCGCACAATTGCCAAAATGAAAACAAAAATCGGCTGCTGTGTACTTTTAACTCTTTTCTCTAATTCCGAAAAGTGCAATTTCACTTTGTAGCCTTCTTCTTCACACTGAGGAGGCGGCTGCGGCGTTTCACGGTTAGTGTTGTTGCTACTACCGTTGTTGTAGTGTAGTGTTTATAGTTGGAATTTTGGGGCTATTTATACGCCAGGCAGCAATGTGCAGTTCACTGGTTACACAAGCCAAAAAAAAATGTATATATAAACGGTCGCGTCAATAGCAAGTATATATAATGCAAGAGGTTGTATTAAATTTTAAAAAAAATGTAGCACACTTTAAATTTTAAATATTGATGATTTTCTGCCACCTCAAGATCAAAAACAAATAAAATAACCAAACATGGCGACGGACTCGCGAGAACTGATATGCGAACGATACTACTTGTAACTAAGCAAGCATCGATGCATCGAATGCAGCCTCTTTGTGCTAGGGGTGGAACGATAAATTGTTGCTTGTGAATACCCGAAACTACCACATCGAATGTTTTTAGTTCATTTACTTCCCTAACTAATATTGCGAATGTATTATTAATCAAATATCCAATAGCTATGAAATCGCATGAAAAACTAAATTATTAAATGACCAGCAAAACTACCTACACTACGACGGCATCGAATACTTGCGTCCAGGGCTGGCGGCTTTAGCCAAACAGCTGTTCGCATTGCCGCGCAAAATAAAGAGGCGCTTTTGCCTCCGGTTTATGTTTGTGATTTGTGTATAATTTCTTCCTATGTGCAGGAGAAACAATGAATTTTAACTACTTTCCCAACTACTACTCCATAGAGGATATATTCGTGACGCAGGAGAAAGTGGAGTGCAAGGTAAATTCGCGCTTGCAGCGCATGGGTAAGTTTTTTTTTGACAGTCTATAAATTTAATTTAAATATGTGTTTTTGTGTCGCCGTTTTGCAGGCTTCCTCGATGCCGGCTCGGAAACAGAACACTTGGAGCCGGGACGCACAATAAATCTGCCGCTGTGGTACATTAAAGAACTTAAGGTAAACAATGCATATTTCACAGTAGCCGTGCCGGACGTTTACAAGAACGTACACAAAGCCGTTTGCGAGGCGGAGACGACACACATCGAACTGGGCCGCTTGCATCCGTACTTTTATGAGTTCGGACGCTATCTCACACCTTACGATCGCAACCATGTTATTGGACGCATCGTGTTTGAGACCCTGCGACAGCGAGTGCGTCATCTGCTGGACATATCAAAGAATAACACACAAAACAACAAGCCAGAGCATAAGCTGGACAACATTGAGACCAAGCTGCACGATGCGGGCATACGGACCAATACGATGGTAAGTCGACAATATCACAATACCTGGCCGTACCCAAATCCGCTCTCCAACAGTACACGAACTGGCTGCAAATGAGCGCGAGCAACATATCCATTTCCGAACTGGTACTGGAGCATCAGAAGAAGCGGAAGCGTGCCGAGCTCGACGACGACGCTGCTGATGGCCACGATGGCTCGCCCAACAGTAAAAAACGCGCCACAATGTAACACGATATGAAATAAATGAAGATATTAAAGAACCTCAGTTGAACAACCCTTTATTGAGGAAATGTGAGATTAAATAAAAACAAGATGACTTTATTTACCTCTTCTATTACCTTCTAACATAGCTGCAAAGTTCCTAAACATAAACATGCCCTTCCGCGAACTTGGGAGAAGCTGTTTTCCAATCTTAGTAAATAGCTCTTGGACTTTCTGAACATTCGATACTCTGCCTTTTACATTTCGGGTATAAAATATAATAGATGGAACAAAAATGCGTAAATTAATGGTATCCATTACCAAGGGCGTGCACAGAGGGAGGCAAATTTAAATCTTTAGCCATTTTTTGTGAAATTTGAATATGTTCATTATTATGGCGCACTATTTCGCCTTAAAGTGAAAATGAGTTGGATTTTTTTAAGTTTATCTATTGATCATATGCGTAAAATAATATTTGAACGCATGGTGAATAATTAAATCAAAATTGTACTTTTTATATATGGTATGGATTTTGATTTTAAATATTATTATGCAGACTTTTCGGCGCTTTTGTTGATTTGAATGATCGTTCTGCCAACTAATTTCGATTTGATAAAAATTAATCGAGTTCTATCGAAATCAGTTGCAGGGTTGCCAACCAGTTCGACGGATTGCGCGACATTCAAGATGTTGAGCTCGGCGAGCGCGGATTCAGTGTGTGAGTCACCGGATGACGACAATATCGGCGTTTGTGTCTTTTGTTTGACAGCGACAAAGCGCGTTTGCCAGAAATGTGCTGACTATTATTGTTCGGTGGAGTGCCAGCATAGAGACTGGCCGCGTCACCGTTATATCTGTTTTCCGATGCCCAACTTGGTGCCTCCCAAGTGTAGTGAAGCAGACGTGCATTGGAGTGGCATGTTGGGATCATGCACACCAGTTAACGAGCGAACCGAACGCGGTAACCATGAAGTATTGATGCCAGAGCCGAATAGTCGTGTCTGGATTACAAATTTCCGCAAGTCGGATATTGTACATGTGCGTCAAACCAGCAAATCTCTCGATAAGAAATACCAAGAGGTTTGCGAGCAAATCAACGAATGGGGCAAAACAGCACCACCAGCAAAAAATTTGTATAGCAAGCAAATTGTATTGATGCAGTATTTTGATCGCTATTATCGCGTTGAAGTAATATACAGAAATGGGGACACTGTGCTTGTAATATTTATTGACTCCGGGAAATTCTTCTGGACAACCTACAATAGCTTGTTTGAGATGCCGTTGGAAGGACACCAACTCCCATTTTTTTGTACACAAGCGCAACTGATGAATGTGCCATATTTTAGTGGAAACTTGCAAATCACTGAATTTCTGAGGATGTGTCAGAAACATGAATACATCATTACCTATCTGGACGGTGAACAATCTGTGGAGTTGCTGTATGCAGAGACGGGAAAGTCATTGAACTCTGAAATAAATGAAGTATTCTGTGACTTCCCAACTATCCATCGAACGACAGCACTATCCTCAGACTAATTCTAACAAGGCGCGGCGCATATGCTTCCCGTGGATGGTAATCGAAAATCGCTGGTTTCGATCAAAAAATTAGCTGGGCTTCCCCTTTTTCACTGCATGGTAATTGAAACTACATATATACTGGTATTACGAGGATTCACATCAATATGTCCATCGTTTTGAAGTGTTTATTTTAAATTGATTTTCGAATAAGAATCTACCCGAAAGTCCCGTAAAAAGAAGACCCTTTCTTCACATTTAAAACCATTTTTTAAGCCCATTTATTCCAAAATTGTTTCGAATTATTAATAAGTATGCATTGAATCGAAACAGTTATGGCATATACATACATACTTGTATATTTTTGAAACTCCATACTAGTTATATTTCGTAGCTGTACTTAATTTTGGTTTGAAAGAAGGATATATACTCGTATTTTAAATGGACATTTAGCTCATGTTTTTGATTTATTCAATCTATAGTTTGTATATTTATATGGAGTAGTACCACCTAAAGTATTAATTTTGAATTTTAAGCTCAGTTAAAAGTTTCACAGTAGGTATGTATATACATATATTGTTTACCATATAATGCTCTTGATAATCTATCCAAACTTTTATTAAGTTGTCATTTTTGCTTAAACACTTTTTTGTTTTCTCTTTTAATGTTAAATAAAACGAAACCGTAGCGTACAAATATTCGTTCGAATTTTATATTTATGTAAATTATCGTCGATATCGGGCATAAGTAAGAAATGTGTAAGGTCCTTAGAAAAACAATGTATACCATTTCACAGGACTAGTTCGATAATTAAAAAAATATATATAATATCCATATGTTAAATGTGAGAATTAAGAGAACAAAATTTGTTAAATTAATAGTTACTAGTTTAAGACAAAAGTTAAGCCGATACATCATTTTATCGTTGTCTCTAATAAGTTGTGAAATTAACCCTCAAATATATATTTTTTGATAAAGCTTCAGTATATATTGTTGGCATTATTACCAAATCTGCTTGAGATATCGTAATAAACACAAAAGTTATTCCACCAAGACTGATTTTTACACCGATTGCTCCTACTGCCGCTATATGAAATATTGAAACTGTACATGATTCGTCATAAATATTATCTGCGTGCCAAGTTGGTTTCCCTAATGGCTGTGGTTCAAAAGTTCTTGAAGCTCATACAGACAGACGGAATTGGCTTATTGCTCATTGCATCTGGGCACAGATTATAGGAAAAATGAGTAGTGAAGCTATAAGATCGATTTTTTTGTTTTCTGTCGTAGAAACTACGAAACAGGGGTACGAAAAAATTGTGTTTATTTTTTTCCCTGCTAAATTTAAAAACTTTCGAGCTTATCAAATCGTGGGCATTGTATTACTTAATTTTTATTTCCAATTATCAATTATAATTAATTCCCTTTCCTTTCTCCATAATTACAGAGTCTGTACAGTATTTATTTTCATCTCGATTAAATTACTTTTAAAGTAATTTGTTGTTCTTTGCGTAGAAAATAAATTTTGTAACGTTCATAAAATATACTCTTTTTGGAAATGCAATGACAAATCTCTTTACTTTTTGGATTAAGGTATCGCGGGAATTCAAAATAAGTGGGCGATTAAAACGGAAGAACTTTGGATTATGGTTGCCCGATTGATGAAAAGTTAAAACAACATTTTTTGAACATCCAGTTTTGTTCCCATTTCCGCATCCCATACAATTATGTGGAATCGAAATGGAAAACTGTATCGGCTCAAAGCCACACTCAGGCAATATAGAACTTATACTGATCCTGTCGAGTTAAATAATCTCTTTTCGAAACTAAGAACATTTAACAACTCCAAGTCCACATGGTTGGATCGAATTCGGAGTGGGGAATGGGAAAAGTTACAATCGGTGCTTACATCTTAATCTTTCATACAAGCAAGACACACAAATACTATATGTTTATGGTGTTTATACAAATTTTTATTTTGCTTTTTCGCAATGGGTTTAGGGTTGAAAAATTTACATTCAGCAAAAATGAAATCAAAAATACATGCTAAATAAAGAAAGTCTAGATAGAAAATATATGTTTTTTGATCGTCAAAGTTCAATGGTGGTCATACAGGCAAATAGTTTGCACACAAAGCTGTCAAAATCTGTGAAAATAAAATTATTTCCATTAAAAGCCATTAAGAAATACCAAATATTTCAGTAGGATAGACTTTCTTTAAAGCCTACTTGCCTGCAAATTATTTGCATGTCTGAGCACAGCCGTAGTTTTCCTATTGCACTGATAACATTGAATTCCAAATGCTCTGGAAGCTTATTAATATTGGTAATTGGAATTGGTAGACCGACATTTATATATGTATATATTTATGGGTAGTAGTTGTGTTTAAAATAAACGATATACATATTAGTTTCGGGGGGTTTGCTTAAAAATTAAGCAACGAGTTTTTGTTTATTTTGATTCTCAATTAGTATTATTTTTATTGTGGTTATATAGTAGGTGTGTTACTATAGTTATGCAAAATACAACTAAGCGTGTATGTGTGTGTGTGTCTATCTGTCTGTCTTTGTTGGTTGTACAGCTGTTGTTGATCCTACTGTTAGACTGGCTTGTACTTGTATAGCTGCTGATGCTATAAACATACATATACCGGTATATATATATACATATATGGGGGATACATGTATTTGTACAAATATATATAGATGGAGAGATATTGTATTTGCAATTATTATGTATTTGTAAAGCAAAATATTGCAGCAAGGACTGAAATCGAATACAGTCATGCCACATAGAAGATAAATTAGCAACAAAAAAAAAATTGTTCAGTTTTGTCAACCGACTGAACCTACTCCCTACCGGTTCTCCAACTGCATAACTGCTTGCATACATTTAGAGGTTAAAAGAAATATTTGTAATAATAATCATAATAAACAAGAATTTGCACTAATTTTTGCCATTAGCGGTGGGTCGCATAGAGTGCTGGGCGTCAAGGACATTGGGCGGCTTCTCTGGCCCCTTCCGGCACTCGCTGTTGCCATTCTGTAACGCCGGCAGCGTGCGCGGCTTTGACTTTGGTAGCAGTACCTACAAAAATAATCCAAAATATATAGTTTATAGAGAGAAATCTGTTATAGCACAGTCCACTACTAACCTTGAGGGCACCCTTGACCATCAGATAGAACCAATAGATCTGCGGTAGAAACAATATGGCGATGCCGATGAGACAGCCGCGTGGCAAACCGCATAGTGCCGCCCAAATGGATGTATCAATGACGACACTGTAGCGCCACATCACATAGGGCCACATGCCGACCCGACAGACAAAGAATGTGGCCAGCATGAGCAGCCCATTGACAATATAGGCCCGGGAGTCCTTCAGACCCATGGTGCTCAGGACGCTGCGCAGTGAGACGAATGGCGTGGAGAACTCCATCATGTACATGTAGCTGTAGATGCAGTGGCCACCACCTCGTATATACTTTAAGAGAGGAAACCCGATTAGGCATTACTACTAAACATGCTCCGATATGCGCTTGCACATACCGTTACGACCAGTAGGCCGAATGTGCCAATAAAAACGTGATGTATCATCATGACAGGATGCGTTACAACATATTTAAGAAAGTCCCAGCGTCCATCCTTGGGTATTTCCACACAGGCACCATCATAGTCGTAGATCTCGTGCGACGTTAATGGCGGTGTGCCATTGTTGTTGGCTCCAATGCCGTCGCCCGCACCGCCACCGGCCTTGGCGGCCTTATCGTAGAGCGCCTGTCCATTGCTGAGTGGCGCCGCCTTCGCTTTGGTTAGACGCATCAAGTTCAGCTTGTCGGCAATCTTTTGTGTGTGCACCTTGTACATGGACCAGATGTCGTACATGAAGTAGGCGGTGCCAAACCAGCCATATGCTTCCATTAGAAAATGGGAGGCATAGACAAATGATTTGCTGCACGTGGACTTGCAAACAATCAGGCCGACAAGGAATGAGAAGGAAGCTTGGATGGCAGACACAATTCTAAACGTACAAGTAAACCGAGAAATGAGAATACAATTAATAATATACATACATATGTATGTATGTATGTATATATGTACATGCTATAACTAGGAAACAATCATTATTATTAATACTTAAGATTAGGTTACAATACAAAGGTCATTGGGACAAAGGCCAATCATTTCATTCATTTTCCATCTGGTGTGGAGAGCATTTTAAAATTCGTATTTGCTTCACTTTCAAAACAAATTACTATCAAAATTTTTTGTGGTGTTCTTTCGGCACATTTTTTTTTTTTTTTTTCAAAACAGAAAAAAAATCAGAGAAGGACGCACAACATAAGGAAGCCAAACCAAACTTAGCCAAGGCGTTTCAGCGTTTCCATTAATATGCAAAACGCCATAGACGGTAGCAAAAAGCCACCCAGCTAAGTGCAGCAGCCGCCGCTTAAGGAAATAGAAGCTAGAGACATGGCCACAGCGTCAGTAGGAGCGGCGGCGGCGGTGTCGGCGCCGGGCAGTTCCCCTCAGCCGCCACTGACGAGGCCGCCACCACCCGCATTTGCCACTGGCTGCAATCTGCAGAGCATGAGACTGCATTTGGATCGCCTAAATCTGAATGACAGCATACTTAATACCATGGGCTGCACCGAACGTTTCGTGGCCAGAACAATGATGGATTTTCCGCCGCCGCCCCTACTAGTGCGCCGCCAAGAGAGATGTTGTTGCAGCAACAGCAACAGCAACAGCAATAACAACAGCAATAGCAACGACAGCAGTTGCAACAGCAACCAGAAGCAGAGCCAGAGCAACTGCATGCTGAGGCGCATGTCGAAGGCAGTGGGGAAGTGCGTCTCGTTCGCGGGGACTGCTCAGATGCATCGCGAGGATCCGGGTCTGCTGCAGTTTGAGCGATTACTGCGAAAGAATCGCAAACGTGAGCGGCTGCTGGTGCCGGATTTGGCCACGGAATGGTTTCGCAAGCAGAAAGTGTGCCTGGACAGCATTACGGAAGAGGAAATTCAGGAGCTAGAATGTTCAAAGCATCTTCGTACCGATATTGATTTTCGACCGGCTCTTTCCTTGACATCCAACTTTCCATGTCCGCAATACTGTCGCTGCAACGACGGCCGAACAAATCTCAGTCGATCGCCATCGGCGGAGCAGCGCACCGGACTGCGAAATGAGCAAAAAGTATTGCAGGAGCCCAAAAATGATAAGCAGAAGGCCGGAGATCAGAGCAAGTCCGGAGAAAAGCCGGTGCGTAAGGTGCGCATCAAGGGGGTCGATGATGTGACCTTAATCTGTCGCTGCAATGAGCCTGCTCCGTCTGAAGAGCAACCTGAGAAAGAAGCGAACAAGTCTGAGGGCAGGCGTCCCACTCAATGGAATACCAAGTATTCCGAATCAGAGGAAGATGTGACGAAGAATTTACGAAGACCTCCATCAAGTTCAAACTTAAGGAGTCGCCAAAGGAGCGCCATGAGTCTGAATGTGAAAAAGGGCGACCGCAAGAAGAGTCTCGTCATATGTCCGAAGAATGTGGCCAGTTGTCAAACAAATTCACCGCCACTGCGACGTCCGGGAGGACGCGACATCGAACAACAAAGTAGCGTAACATTTGATCAGAGTGGTCCGCGATACTCAACGAGACAGAGAAGCATACCAGACCTATCAAGGACACAATCAAACATGCCTCGTGCATCGAGGCCGTGCCAACCGTGTCCTCAGAGGCTATCGTATTCTCCGAAGGCACCGCGTCCAACAAAGCCAATAACACAGTGGACCAAAGAAACAATGCCACCTTGTCCACCCAAGCCAAAGCCAAGGCCGACGCCAGAGTCCAAGTTCTTGGTCCGAAACAGAGTGAATAAGTGGGGATGCGTTTGTATGCAGCCGCCGACGGAAGCCGACTGCCTACTTTTCCAGGGGGATGGTCAGCCGATGGCCGAGGAGTGTATTCCGCGACCGCCCGAGCCGTCAGCACCCCGCCTGCGACGCATGTACGATATACGAAAGGCGCCACAACGAAACATTGACCCATCGCGCTTTCGTCGTATATCTCCCGAATTCTACTGCCTACTCAAATCGTATGAGGACGAGATGACCGAACGATATCCGCTCTATGGCATACCCATGCGCTACTGGGTGGACACGCAGCCGTGCTGTCCATGCGAGATATACAGACGCCGCAAAGACGACAGATGCTTGGGCGATGAGGCCGCAACGCATCTGCCGCACTCGTTACAGACAAAGCCAAAAACAAAATCCGGACTGCCTGAAATGGTTATGAGGATGCGTAAGAAGCAAAGGGCACTCGAACCGGATGAAAAAAATGGCGATGGAGATAATGATAAGGAAACGGAAACGGAAAAGAAAGTTGACTTTTGCGACCGCAAGTCATGCAATGTACTTGCAGACTCGGAAAATGGGGGGAGCTGTACGGAAGGCCAATGCCGGCGAAAGCATGTTATGACTACCTCCGGTTGTTACCACTGCAAGACTGGTGGGCCGGCAGCAAAATCCGACCAGAAGCCAATCGAGACAAATTATCGAAAACAACCCGAAAAGAAGCAATCCTGCGCCATTTTCCGGCGCAGGGACAAACAGAAAAAAGTACGCAGTGATCCGGCTTCGGAGCGTTCATCTGCAAGCGATGGTGATACGACAAAGAAGCCGCGTAAAAACAGTTCGATGCTGCGTTGCTTTAAGCGTAAGCACTCGCAAATACTTCCAGTTGAACCGCTAAAGGGAGGGGGTTTGCCGCCAAATAAGGTACTACCAGCTGGCAGAATTATAGCTAGTGGCAAAACGACGCCAACCGGCAAGCAACCACTGTCCAAGGCAAAAAATCAACGCAAGTCCTCGTCCTCCAACGGCATTATGGGTGGCTTTCGTTGCCTTTGTAAAAAGGCTCTAAAGCCAGGTCGCTACCTACTTTATAATTTCAGCAACATCAAAACCAATCACCAGCAGCATGTTCAGAGCTATGCGGAACGAAACAATCTTCCGGCGCCCAGTAGCAGCCAATTCCTTGCCCAGCGTTCGCTCTTTGGTCTGCCCCAATTCCATACGCAACCAGCACCTTGCAAGTGGGGAGCGTTTGCAGCTCGCTCTACACAAAGCTCCGATACGCTTCGCCCCAGCAGTTGCGGTAGTGGCTGCGACAATCCATACGATCCATATAACGACACGCAGAAGAAGTCCAATAAGAAGTTAAATTACAAAAATAGCCAAAGCGCACAATCGGACACCAAGAGCTCGAGTGGGGAAGGGGGCACATGTACGAGTGGTGGAGGGGGTACTTGTAGTAGGGGTGGTGGCAAAAGCAAGAGCGGAGGAGAGAGCACATGCACGAGTGGGGACGGAGGAACGTGTAAAGGCAAGGCCGGAGGAACATGTAAAAGCGGCGGTTGCGGAGCAACTAAAAAGGGTGGTGGAGGAACGTGTACAAGCGAGGGTGGAGGGACTTGCACGAGTGGTACAGGAGGAACTTGCACGAGTGGTGGAGAAGGAACCTGCTCCGGCGGTACTCGTCGAAAGCGCAATCGTAGCAGATGCTCTCTCCGCTCGTTCTTTCATCTAAACACACAACCACCGCGTAACCAGTGGCCGGCGGATGGGAAAGGACAGGACTGCAGAACAGCGACAAGCTCTGAAACATTGCGTCCCAGCAACAGCGCGGCGGGATCATCATGCAGTTGGAAATGTCGCAGGGGTAAAGCTCTGGCTCCGGGGTGGGACGGGCCATTAGAAGGATGCAAGGGATGCGGACTTTGTGCTCAGTGGGCGTGTGGACCGATCGGGCACGTCGAGGAAGGGGTGTGCGGAAAACCGTTTCAACCCACAACTAAATCATCCAAGCTTGCACAGCAAAAACAGCAACGATCTATTTTTAAGGGCTCTGAAGGGAATACAAATCAGGGCGAACAAAGAGAAGGAAGGGACAAGTATGAACGGCGGGAACGACATGAGTCTAAACAAACACGTGGCCGGCTGTTGAACGAAGCGGCACGAGGCTTAAAAATGGCAGCATTACTGCAGCGACCTGCAAAGTTCCCATGTCGACGGGCATGCATGCCGGCAACGGAGTATAATGCATTTATACGTCAGATTGCTAGACGGCGTGCTAACACAAATCTGCCCATGCGCAAGCTTTCGGCTACGAAGTTAAAAACCGACCCTGAGCCCATTGTACAAGCCGATGATGTTCAATCTCAACCCAATGAGGGCGCAGCCGTGCGTATTGCAGAAAACGATGCTCCCCGTGAACCCATTCTAACACCATCAAGTAGTAGAGCGATTATCCCCAATCGTCCCATACAAACATCTAACAATACGAGCAGAGCAGCGCGAACCAAAATCAGAACTACATCGCAAGCCCCGACCGATCGCTGCGCCATTATTCGCAGACAAAACCAAAATCAACTAACTGTGATCAGCAACCGTGTCGCTCGACCGCGTACCCGAAATCCTAGAGCCGACACGGTCACTGTTCACATTAGCACTGTGGGAAAGAGGCCCAATACTTCTATACTGATTAAGAAACGGTCGATGGGCTCGAGTGCAGCGACCCCTTTGCGCTTCCACACGCCCAGTACAAGCTCCAAAACCCTGGGTTCTACCAATAGCTTGACATACAAACGATCACAGGGCTCCAATTTGTCAGCGAGAACGTCTGGTACTCTGCACATATCATATTCGCGAACCAGTGTGCAGCAACCTCCATTGCGCTATCGCTTTCGGGCACCGAAGTTCGCGGCGAAGGCGACGAAAAAACCGCCTAAAACATTTAGAACTCGCAGAGGAAGTCGTAACAGCACAGTCAGCAATCAGCGACCAATGGAATCACCCTACGGCTACAGTGAGCCACAAACCCCGACTATTTGTACTCCAAGTAGTACTTGCGCGGGTAAAGTGACTAGAGTAGAGCAACACTGTAAAGTATCCACGGTAACTTCCCCTGCCATTTCGGAGGTCTGCTCTCAAGCGTCCAAGACGCTTTCAGAACCGGGCTCCAAAATGAGCGGAGAATTCCGCCAAAGCTTTTCAGATGCTCGTGCATCAGATACTCGTGCATTAGATGCTCGTGCATCAGATACTCGTGCATCAGATGCTCGTGCATCAAATGCTCGTGCATCAAATGCTCGTGCATCAAATGCTCGTGCATCAGATGCTCGTGCATCAAATGCTCGTGCATCAAATGCTCGTGCATCAAATGCTCGTTCATCAGATGCTCGTGCATCAAATGCTCGTGCATCAGATGCTCGTGCATCAGATGCTCGTTCATCAGATGCTCGTGCCGCTGCCGTATCCAAAGCAGCGTGCCCATGTGCTGAGCAAGTATGTTGCAAGCCTCAGACCCAGCGGTTGTTGGAGACGGGTCGCCGCTATTACACAGACACGCAACCCAAATCGCTGGAGGAGAAGGCAACGTTAGGTATCAGATACAGCAGTCGCTCTTTACACTCGAACCATTCCATACCGGCGCTCTGCTCCAATACAAATAGCGTGACATGTCCGTGTGTGCCAGCACCCTCTGCAGCGACTGTGGCAACAGCGGCCACGTTGGACACCGTGCAGCGCGATACCGAGCGCTTCGGCGTAATCTCATGCTACACGAGCGGCCAATCAGTGGCACAGCGACCATTGCAAATGCGCTCGCAGTCGCCCTGCATTCTGCCCAAAATCTTTTCGACCCAACCGCCTATTATCGAGGCCTATCGCGAGATGCGTGAAGCACAACTGAAGAAGGCAAAACCAAAAGTGCCGCGAAAGCCGCATCAGCATGCACGGCCAGAGTACTCTTTTCGCACACGCCGTCCCACACCCCGCCAGTACTTGAAAGATTTTGACTATTACGGATGGCAGCAGTCCTTATGCAATGGTTCGTTTCAACAGCAAAGGCCACAGCAGGAATCGTCATGCCAGTGCTCTTGGGTATACGAACGCAAGCCACGATGCTCACAGCCAGATAGTATTCGTACCGAAACGGATTATCCGTCATGCCGCACGTCTACAACAAATGCGATCGGCACGGCTGAGTGTGCTGACAAGCTAAGTCGTGCGCTTGGATGCTGCGCAGTTCTTATTCAACGACAGCAACAACAACACCAACTACAAACACCCTGCACTACATCTGATCAGAGTGCACGAACAGCTTCCAGCCGTTCCTGTTGTTCTCAAAATGAAAACAGGAATGTTCAGCCCCGTCGTAGCTACTGCGAGGATAAATATTCCGAGTCGGAAGCCATGGGTGCAACTAATTTATTGAGCCGTTGCAATCAACTGAATAGCGCCTGCCGCTCGCGATCCGGTTGCGATATGTTCTTTAATCGCTCATCCAGTGAAAGTGTCGACAACGTAAAGAATCAAGCGACTAACCGGGATGGTCGACAACCAACAGCCAGCAGCCTTAAGAAAAAGAGCAGTATTGATATGAAATGCCAGGCCGATGCTCAGAGCACTACTTCCGCCTCCTCCTCTTCATCTGACTGCTCATCTTCTTCGAGTGGAGAGGGTAGGGGTTTGAATTCTGGTAGCTCCTCAGACAGGCTATCAAAGCAACGCAAGCATGGCACAGACAGACAAGGAGGCAGACACTCTTATTGCAGCAGTAGAGAGAAGACTAAAGAGGCTACCCGAGAAGATCTTGAGGAGCGTGCATATAGTGCCTACCTCAACCAATTGCAAGGGCCAAAGCTCACGGAACAGAAGGTTCGCTCACAGCATAGAAGCAGCGGCCCACTGTTTGGTATCAGCAGACTAATATCTAGGGGCTATGGAAATCTAGCACGGCGTCGCCTAAGACGCTCTGCGTCGCAGTCTACACGAGTTTTCGATTCACCCGATGGCGACGATAACGATATAAAAGATGACGCCCATTACGTTCAGGAGTACCAACAACATAGTCATTCAATGCAACAGCCTCAGCCTCAGCGCTTTCTACCGAACAAACAAGCAGCAATGCAATCCTATTCTGACTTTTCCACGTCCACCGTTATGCCAACAAGCGTTTCCACAATGAGTACGAAATTCCCAACACATAGAACAGCTACGCCAGTTTCTACTATAACGAATGTATCGGGAATGTCTCGGCCGCCTAGTCAAAATATTTCAGCGGCAAAACGAAGCCTGGCTGCCGCTCTGGTTGCGAATAGTGCCCGGGCGTTGGCCGAAAAATTGCGAGCTAAAGCGCAGCCTTTTATGTTTGCCCCGACAAGCCATGCACCCATTGCTCTTAAAAGCATCCGAAGGATAGATATTCCGAATGGTAATCGTTTTTCCACGGATGTTGCTTCCACCTATTCAACGAAGCCGATGCGTCACAATAATTTCCCAATTTCTTTGAGGGATACGTTCCGAAAACACTCGAAAAGTTCAATGAGCAATGCAAATAGTGGAAATATAGGCACGAATAATACCGAGGGAGATTCCGCATCCGCAGCTCAGCCGCGGATCCCATCAGATTGCAGAAAACCCAATTGTAAACATGTCGCATCCTTTGACAGTTCGTCCACACCGTCAACAGGTACGAACAGCTTGCTAAGCTATTTAAGCAGCTCCTTGGAAAGGTCCGCCCTGTCTTCGGAACAGACATCATCGTTTATACTACCTACCAGCACAGCTGGTTCAATGAGTGGCATTTACTCCACCGATGTCAATTCTGCATTTCAAGACTCTTCGGCCTCTGCTTTGCAGTCCAGGCCGAGTCGTGATCACAGTGCTAACGATGTAGAACCTCAATGGAATTCGTCTACGTACCGCAAAAAATCGACTGATCCAACGCCTCCCCACTCCTCCACTATATATTATCAAAACACGACGAGATCACCTGGCTGTCAGCATACCCGCTCTTTGTCCAATAGTCCAACATTTATAAAACTACAAGCGGCACCGCGACGTGTACCGCCGCCAGTATCTCTGCGGTCAGAGCTGGACTTTCAAACACATTCTTTGCCCACAAAGAGCTCTACGCCCGTCATTTCTTTCCATTACAAGAAACCCACTTACAGTCGGGATACGGGGGGTAATATTCGAGCGACTCCATCGTTAACGCTGCTCGATCATCTACGCAAACAGATGCAAGTGACGTCCACATTTTCCGAAAAGTCAACCACAACATCCAAACTGAAATCACAAAATCAAAGAGCGTCGTGTGAACGCCATCCACCAATGCATCCAATGTCATTGGAAGAACTAGACCGATTGAACAACAATGCAAGATTGAGTCGAGTCCTGCATGCACTGGCCAATGGCTCAACGACAACCCCGTTGGTAATCCCTCCCACCTTTAATGTGCCACCGAACTGCAATTTAAGATCTATGTTGGCCAAGAACATTCGGCGAAGCAGCTAAGGACCAACTACTTATCCTGAAAATCTAGTCGTGTTTGTATCAGATATATTACAATGGAACCTGTCCAGTACCCCCCAAATATTTTTGTTTACTGTTTTTTATATACAATACCGAATAAAGGATATATACCATCCAACTGCACACCTCGCCTGATGTGGAATTGGCATGCATTTTGTTCAATTGTGTGTGTAGGTGAGGTTCGGAAGCGGACTATTTTGTTGTAAAAAGCATCCATTATCTCTCCTCAATGAGTGTAGAGTACATTCGGAAAATTGTAAAATTTAAACTATATTTTATGGTAGTCCCTTCTGGTCGAATGCGATGTATTTTGTGCAGGAAAGGTAATGATTTGAATTCATTTTGGGCGGGTTTTTAAACCGCTTCAATGCATTTTTTTTTCCTTGTGAGTAGGTGAGGTTTGGAAGCGGACTATTTTATTGTAAAAAGTATCCATTAGCTCTGCTTAATGAGTGTAAAGCACATTCTGAAAAATGTTAAATTTGTACTATATATTTTGGTAGTCCCTTCTGGTCGAATGCGATGTATTTTGTGCTGGAAAGGTAATGATTTGAATTCATTTTGAGCTGGTTTTAAGCCGCCTCCATGAATTTTGGTGTGTAGGTGAGGTTCGGACTATTTTATTGTAAAAAGGATTCATTATCACCACAAATTTATACTATATTTTATGATGATCATTTTTGGTCGATTGCGATGTATTTTGTGCAGGAAGAAGTCTTAAGAGCGGGTTTCTAAACCTGCCCCTAAACTAAAATGAAATCCTCTTTAGGGGACTAAAGACTACACTCGAGAATACTTCAGACGAAAAAGAGTATAAATGGGAATGAAAGTTATATCTATTCATAAGAATTTGTTTCACTACATATATCCTATATTACAGATGCTTCAACACAAATTAATAATACTAGCTTAATAATGGGGAACCAAGTCCATGAAATTTGCTAAAAATGTGGACCAGTTGGTGAAAATATCCGTGAATAAATACACCTGGAAATTATTATCCCATCTAAGATGAATGTCCGCTCATAACCCGATAACGAGTTAGAGAAGAAAAGAGAAGAGATCTAAGATGAATGCACTCTCAAATAATAACAATATCTCCCCCTAACCCATAACTCAGAAGGCCTACAAACTTTTGAAGCTTGTCGAGAAGGGGGAAACAACAAAATTATTGAAAATGTGCGCCTGCTGCTACAGCTGCGGCCCCACAATGCGCCTCGGCTGCTGTGGAGGGGCTGGTGGGAACAGTAGCTGTAATCCGTGCTGCTGTCCACCACCGTCGGGCCATCGACCACGCGAGCTATTGCGCAGCCTGGACAAAATAGGGTGGTACGAGCGCTGTATGCGGAATTGCAATGCTTGCTTTACGACGCCAGAGGCACAGCGACGAACCTGCAACAACACCTGCCAGCGCAACCGGAACATTGTGGAGGCACTGTGCTATTTGTTCAACTGCCCCCTGTATCAGCTAATGACCACTTTGTTTCGACTCGCCAACTATCATATAATGGCGATGGATAAGTTTCATCGCGACTGCAACTGGGAGGTGATGGCCAACGTTCAGGCACCCTATACAGAAATGCACGATTTGGAGATATATGATAGCATGTACGATCGTTGCGGCATATCCATAGATCCGCTGGATAAGAACAATATGTTCAAGGTGCTGCGCATGATGTTCCTCACGACCATACTATCCATCGATCAGCAGCAGTATCTGATGCGCATGCTGCAGCGCCTTAACGACCATGCCTTGTTCCGTGTGAATCTGGAACGGTTGCTCAAGACCCTGGAGCAGGTTGACATAAAAGAACTCGTCTGCAGCATTATCGAGCAGGATCGACTCTGCGCAAACTTCTACAGTGCCCGGCAGTGTACGGAACTCTGCGCCCTCTACCGCAAGGTGGCGAGCACGGACAAGATGGAGATCATTAGACGACGTCGCATCAAAAAGGCCAAAAAGGTGCCCAAGAAGCCAAAGAGATGTCGCCGCGTCCCTGGCACTCAGATCTACTGTGTGCGCAAGGTACCAGATTCTAGTGAGGACTTTGCCTCCCCCCGCGGCGATCCTCTGCTCAACAGCACGTCTCCAGTGGGCGCAGCAGGGCCAACAAGAGGTGCCGGTCAGGCTCGCTGTCCACGCGTCTCAACAACCTTAAGGCCCAAGCCCAAAAACGATTGCCCACCTCCAAAGCGTGCATCGACTCCACAAAAGCGCAGCTTCTAAACCGTAGAAGGCGCACACATTTTCATAATTTTGTTGTTCAAATTCTTAAAAATATTAAAAAAAAAAAAGAGTGTATGTGTAGACTTTCCTGGAATTAGATTATATATTCGTACTTTTTAATTCACCGTGAAGAATAACGAGAATTTCAAGATCATAGAAGAACATGGGACTTAAAAAAATAAATTTCCCAGAATTAGATTAATTCGTTTTTTAGCTTTTAAAAGAACCATACTCCATACTGATAGTGTAAAGAGCTAAGAAGTATGCATTAGGAACCCATATGGGACGCATAACGATGAGAATTTCAAGATCATAGAAGAATTAAAAATCTACAAACATGGGACGTAAAAATATCCGAACATGATAATGCCGATAGTTTAAAGAGTTATGAAGTATTAGGATCCCATATGGGTTGAATAACGATGAGAATTTCAAGATCATAGAAGAATTAAAAACCTACAAACATGGGACGTAAAAATATCCGTACATGATAATGCCGATATTTTAAAGATCTAAGACGTATTAGAAACCCAAATGGCACATTTTCTATTGTAATAGTCAGGAATGGTCAGGAAAGCCTTACAGAATAGAAATAATACTTTCAATAGGTAAGAAGTATTAGGAACCCAAATGGGATATTTTGTAATGTAATGGTATATTTTTTTTAGCTTTTTAAATAACAGTTTGAAAGAAACGAAGATTATTCTTCAGATAATCTAAGCTAAGAAGTCTTACAAAATTCAATGCGGTGGTAAAATGTCAGGAAAAGCATTACAGAATATGGATAATAGTTTGAAGAGCTAAAAAGTATTATGAACCCATATGAGACGAATGATGAGAATTTCAAGATCATAGAAGAATTAAAAACCTACATACATGGGACGTAAATGCTAATAGTTTAAAGAGCTAAGACGTATTAGAAACCCAAATGACACATTTTCTATTGTAATGGTCAGGGAAAGCCTTAAAGTATGAGGATAATAGTTTAAAGAGCTAAGAAGTATAAGGAACCCAAATGGGACACTTTCTAATGTAATGGTAGAAAAATTTGTTAAGCTTTGAATTACAGTTTGAATGAAACGATGATTATTTGAAGAGGCTAAGAAATATAAGGGGAAAGCCTTACAAAATAACGATGATAGTTTGAAGAACTTAGAAGTATTCAATAGGTAAAAAGTATGAGGTTTTTCAATTTATTCATTTAATGCAGTTGGTTGCGATTTCGGATTCGGAACAAAAATGGAGGAATTGCTTATTTTCAACCGGAGGAGACTTGATCACCAATAACACTATCATCGTCTATTGGCCAAATATTCTTCTCTCGCTTCGGTTGCTGCTGCTGCTGCTGCTGTTTTGGCTTTTTGTCCTGCTGATGTTGTTGTTGTTGCTGTTTTAGCTGCTGTTGTTTCTGCTGCTGGACCTGCATTTGGGAGACAGCATCCTCCAAAATGGCCTTCACACTTTGCAGCTCTTGATTGAGCTCATCTGTGCGCTCCTCCTGCTCTTTCCACTTACGTTCATCTTCTTGTATCTTGTGATAATACTCTGTAATTTTGGCCACATCCTCTGTGGCATTCGGCTTAACGCGTGTCTTCACATCCTCTTCAATTTCAGGTGTAATGAGATCACGCAATGATGGATGGTTTACCTTCAAGTCGTCGAGCACTTCCTTAACGATAAGTTCCTCAAATTCGTTGCGCAATTTATCTAAATCCATGGTTTCGTATATCGGTTAAATTTTGTTGAAGTGCTTTTGAGAAATTTCGATTTTTTATTCGAGCCAAAGGCTGGTGTAAATATGAACTGTTTGAAACATCGAGATAGGTCTACTGATAGTCGAAACAAAAACAATACTCGTACGCATTTCTGAACTATGATGCAATGGCAAATGAAAATTGTAACTCTGGAGAGCAACAACTTCTTGAAGATGACGTAGCATCTTTAAGAAGCCAATTATTATACGAGTAATGGGGTGAAGGTTTCAACAAGCGGTGTACGGGTGGAAAGAGCTCTTGTTTGAAAGCTGATCGATAAACCCCAATAGAGAAAGTTAAGTAAAATCTTCCAGTTTAAGTTTTTTTTTATTTTATTTTTTTTTTTTTATTTGTTTATTGGTTCAAGAAATGTTCTTATAAATCAATGCACTGGTCACAAGTCTGAGAAGCGAAAATGTTGGACAAACTATGATGATTTGTAGGAAAAGTTTTGTTAGCCAATCGTGAGATAAATATAATAAAAACATGAGAGAAATTCTATAATTTGTTCGTTTTATTTAGAAAAATTGGGAAACACCTTTAGACATTTAAATTTGGTAAAACTCTTGGGTATGAACAGAGCTTACATTTTGCAATAGAAGCACAGTCTTCTAACTCCTAAGCTGAGAAAACAACTGTCATCTACTTTATCTAAATAAATAAATGTATATCATTTGAAAGTCTATTAACACATCTATAGAGATGCCAGACTATTGTCATACCTAAGATATTTTGGGGGAATTGTTTTCCCATCCGACCTAGTAGCAGTGTAGTCTTCTAACTTCTAACCTCAGAAAATAGCCTACTTTTCTAAAAACGAAAAACCTCTGCCGACAACTGTCATCTAATTTATCAAAATAAATAAATATACAATTCGAAAGCCTATTATCTACAGCGCTGCCAGACTGTTGTCATACCTAATATATTTTGGGGGAAGCCTTTAGCTGAATACATTATGTATGACTGGTGATGCCAAACCCAGTAGACCTATTTGAAATCAGTCAATCAAGGAATTAAGATACTAAATTTTATTTTAGAAACAATGTAAAAAATAAAACAGCAAAATATTTCGGAAAGCGCAAATCCAAAAACAACCAAAAAAAAAAAAGGAAAAGAAGAAAAATAAAAATTTATTCGATAAATTTAAATCCGGAGACAAACCGAGGCATGGCAAAATTTGGTACCGAAACGCGCATGGATGCGCGAAAACCTTTGGAAATATCAAAATTTTTGCTCGGCAGTGGACGTGGGACACGAGTACGCTATGGAGCATTTACTTTGGGGCAATCGACCATGGCGGCGCAGCAACAAAATCAGCCACCAAACAACAACCGCATCGTGGTAACCAGAGCGATAGTAACAGCAATCAAGCCAGGACTTACAACAGTGACTCCGGTGCGTAACAGAACAAATGCCAACGTTCTTGGAGGTGCCACACTAATGGGAGGAGCTGTCAACGGTGCTGGTGCTGGGGGAAACATTGGCATTGGCGGTGGCATTCAAACGCAACTTAGAAGACCCTCACCACATAAGCCCACCGCCATGTCGGCCAGCAAGGATCAGGCTATAGCACAGAGGCAAAAATCGCCGTTACGGCGTCGACTCTCATGTCGCTCCGAGCAGACACCGCAGACGAAATGGATACTGCGTCCACGGGGCTTTAAGTATGCCTCGACGGAGTCCTCGTCGGAAAGTGTGGGGCCATTGAAGCAGCTCGAGACCTTAGAGGAACAGCCTGCCGCCAACGAGGGCAGTCAGGAGAGCCAAGAAAGCAAGAGCATCGGCCAACGCTTGCATTCAAGCTACGAGCAATTGGAACGGCATATGCAGGAGCTGCGTCTGAAGACATCATGGCCAGCATTTGTGGCCCAAATAGCCGAAGAGAAGCATGACGAGAGAGAGCGAGAGCGCCAGCACAAGGAGCGACAGCAGAAGATCATTGAGATCGATGCGGCGAGCATTAAGGCGCGACGACGACGTTTTATCCAGCGGCAACAATTACAGCAGTCCAACCAGCAACAGCTGCGCATGAGTGGCGCACGACGAACAGCCGCAGGTGGTGGCGGTGGTGGTGGTTGTGGCGGCATAGGCGGTGGTGCCTTGCGCACCTATAGCGTGCCAAGTCAGCGCATTATGTTGGAGGAGGATCTGAAGCATGCGCAGCTGCGTTTGTTGCAGCCACGACGCACTTCTTCCCATCGGCAGCTGCTGCAACAACAACGGGAACCGACAAGAACAGCAACAACAACATCAAAGCCGCCCAAAAGCGGCGCCAGCAAAGTTTCGCTGTTGCAGGCGGACGTCGCAAAGACGACGCCGTCCACTTACAACAGGGAAACAGTGACGAAGCAGCAGCAAGAGTTGGCAGCCGAAATGACGATCAACAAGCCGAAGAGCAGTAGCAGCAGCAGCAGCAGCAGCAACAACAGCAACAACAACAATCACAGCACACAGACATCATCCACAAGTCGCAGCAGTGGTGGCAACATGTGGTCCAATGATCAGACCTATCTAACGCCCATTGTACAAAATCTGGGCAACTCCAAGTCCATTAAGCTCACCTCTACAGTCATTAAAATAATGCCGAATGTGGACAAGCCTGCAACAACAACGGCAATCCAACAGCAACATCAAGAACAGCAGCAACCACAACGACAGTTCTTGCAAATACTTAAGCGGCAGTCAGCAGGCAAGCAGCATCCGCAAGTGTCGCAGAAACAAACGGCGTTGCAGCAGCGCCAGCCACAGAACCAGGGCCTGGAACACCCGAATCACAACCCCAACCCCAATCCCAATTCCAATCCCAACCCTAACCAGCAGCAACAACGCCAGCAATTGCCTCGGGACGGTCCATCTCCGAAAATTGTGCGCAAGGTGCAACACAAGGTGCCGCGCACCATCGAGGACGGCATCGATGTCAGCTATCAGACGTTTGTGTCGAAGCCGCTGCAACGTGGTCGCAAGCCCCAAACCATACGCTACCTCTATCGCCCCATGGTGCGGAATCTGAATGCAGCGACGCCGTCCCAGCTGCAGCGTAAGCGCGCACGAAAATCCAAAAAGGAGCACGAGCACGAGCAGGACCAGGACCAGGAACCGGGTACAGGCGAAACGGAAACGGAGACTGTGCTCATGTTCCTGAAGGCAGCAGCGGAGGCGCATAAGAGTAGCGGCGACTGCAACGGCCATGCGGAGAAGAACGAGAGCCATATCGTTGGCTTTCGTGCACCAAATCTGAAGGTCGGCGCCAAATACATGTCCTACATGCAACAGCTGAGCCGCATGTCTGGCCCCAACGAACGCTGCCTGGGGGGAGAGCACGCACCGGAGGAGCGTGAACAGCAGCAGCCCAGCAGGCATGATCCTCACCAGCACCAACCCAACCAACAACAACAACAAAAACAACAGGAACAACAACAGCTGACCACAAATCAGGAAGAGTTACAGCCGTTACGCCCTACGCTCTTCTTCAAGCCGCAAAGTCTGAGGCCCAAAATCAATCTGATCAGTAACTATAATGCCAAACAAAACGCAACCCCAACCAAACGATCACAGCCACAGCCACAGGCACAGGCACAGGCAGCCGCCACTCACGAAGCTCTGCCAAATGCCAAGCGACTTAATTCGTTGGCAGCTGGTGCCAATATCTATTATCATGAGCCCATCAATCTGCAGTTTGCCGGCACAGCTATTCCAGCGCTCATGGTTCCGGGTAATAAGCGCGAGGACGCCCTTCAACAACATATGGCGAAGAAGGGTTCGGTGAAGAGATCGAACCTGAAGACAGTTAGCTTCAAAATCGGGAAGAATGGTGAAGCCAAATCGGCAGGCAATGCCACAGCCCCGACCAAGGTTAGGAGCAAGGCGAGCGGCAAAAGCCACAACAACAACATCAGCAGCAACAACATCAGCAACAATAGTCGCATGTGAAGAGGGAGGAGATAAAGGCTCGAGATCTGGTCTTCGGCACTGCCCCCCATTCAATCGTTTATCCAAGTCTAGTCCGAATCAATGCCGTCCACTTAAAGTGCATATTAAAGAACAGTTTAGAAACTTCTAACACAGTGTCCTTTGAATCATATTGCGCAATATTCTCACACCATCTTGATGACTTCACTGCGCCAAAAAGGTCACAAGTTTAAGGATAGGGAACGACTACAGAAACAACAACAACAACACGAACAAGAACAACTATAACTCTCTCCACTGACGCCACATATATATATACATATATATATATATGATGTTTTGACATGCCACAAAATGCTCATTGGACTGACTGGCTGGCCGAGCTGCCCATTATAACAATAGTTGGCAATCCACTTTCAAACAGAGCTCCACACACACACACACACACACCCATAATCAGATACATTGTAATGGCTCCGTTGATATATAGTATGTGTGTCTATATGTCTATTGAATGAAGTGCACAAATGAGTTAATGATTGCACATCGATTGGAGCCGAGCCAAGCCGAGCTAGAAACAACTATCAGTTGAATTACAATTGTACTATACGTATTACTATCATAGCGCTGGAAAGCGTACCTATTCGTTAATTACCAGCTCGTCAGCAGCGTAGTTATGGAATTGTCGGGACAGACAATTAGTTTGTACAAATAGTTTGTACACAAATTTGTTCAACTTTCTTTAACAAACAGTATCAAAGCTGTTGAAAAAGAAACTTCTTAGAAATTAACGTTTTAAGGGCTGCTTTAAAAAACTGGACGAGTTTGTGTGCAAATTATTTGCTTGTCTGACCAGTTTCCTCAACAAAAAAGCTACACAAGCAGACACTTCTCTACTAAAAAAAACTCCTTAGAAATGAACGTTTTAAGGACTGCTTTAAAAAACTGGACGAATTTGTGTGCAAATTATTTGCTTGTCTGACCAGTTTCCTCAACAAAAAAGCTACACAAGCAGACACTTCTCTACTAAAAAAAATTCTTTGAAATTCACTTTTTAAGGTCTGGACGAATTAATGAGCAAATTATTTGCTGACCAACTCTCTCAACAAAAAAAGCTTCTACTTAAAAACTTCCTTAAGCATTTAATTTTTAAGGATTGGACGAATTAATGAGCAAATTATTTGCTTGTCTGGCCAGTTTCCTCAACAAAAAAGCTACACAAACACGCACTTCTCTACTAAAATTGTTCTTAGAAATTCACTTTTTTAAGGGCTACTTTAAAATACTGAACGAATTAGTGAGCACATTATTTGCTTGTCTGACCAACTCTCTGACGCTACAGTCAAGCAATCCCGACAGTCAAATACCCTTTACCCAAACGAACTTTTTCTAAAAGTATTTTCCATATGTTTTATTATTTGAGACAATCCAAGCCCTGCCTAGGGGAATATATACATAATGGCAGATAAACAAAACTAGATCGTATTGCATTGCATTCTTCCGGGTTTTGTTCAATAGTTCACCAATTTTTTGCCATATTCCGACAAATAGGTAAGGAACCTTCTAAGCTTACTTATATTTCTATAATCTACGAAAGCCAGCCATACCGATTTTGTCAAGGAATATGTAAATTTTTCGGGGTCTGTCTGGCCTCACATTTTTACATCAAATGATGCCTTCCTCTCTTTGGTCACAAGTGGGTCATAAATTAAAGCAACACTGCACATTTATACATTTCTCTCTATTTGTTTAGAGCCCCCCATAAAGTTACCTTCGCATTTTAGTTACACCTTTCACACTGGCACCGAGAAAAATGCCAAGCATGGCCATTGCTCACTGAGCCTTGGCGTTGAATACCGACCCACTGCCCGGCTATTACCGCCCTCGGTCGTCCCAGTATACCGTCCAGCCAGCCATATCGAATCAAAAAATTAGTTCCAATTACTTACAAACTCTCCACGTCTATTATCGAGTTGTCGTGCAACTAGTAGCGCGTAGTTAATGAATCACCCAAACGAGAGACTTTTTAATGACACTTGTACTATTCGGATCTAATTTTAAAAATGATTTAATAGTTTCTGATTTCCATTACATACAGTACTTGTATATGGCTCATCAAAAACCTGATTGGAAAATTGTTTTAAACTTTTATGTGTATCCGAATACAGACATTCTTGACACCAACATGTTAAGACACGTTTTTAGTGTTCTGAAAAAATGTTTTGTGATGTTATCAAAATCTGAGAATCTATTCCTAGGGAACAATATGCATAAAAGAAAAAATTTTGGGTTTTGCAATTTTTAACATAAATAAGACCAGCTCTAATAACAATTTAAGCATAACATATTCTCTTATGAAGGTCCAACTGTATTGAAAAAAGTACACACTTTGAAAGCAAAAAATTGTCATTCAAAGATCTCAACACCTGATCGTTCAAATCTGGAAAAAGTTACTCAATTTTGAACATAAATAAAAAGAGCTAAAATAACAATCTAAGCATAAAATATTCTCTTACGAAGGTCCGACTGTATTGAAAGAAGTCCACACCTGGAAAGCAACAAATTGTCATTCAAAGATCTCAACACCTGATCGTTCAAATCTGGAAAAAGTTACTCAATTTTGAACATAAATAAAACGAGCTAAAATAACAATCTAAGCATAAAATATTCTCTTACGAAGGTCCGACTGTATTGAAAGAAGTCCACACCTGGAAAGCAACAAATTGTCATTCAAAGATCTCAACAACAGATCGTTCCGGTGGCAGCCGATTTCGCCCATATTCGGGTACACAACATTTCAAATCTGGTAAATATAGCTTTAAATACGAACAAGTTTATCGCTCAATTGTTCCTATGCTATAGAGAATATTTTCTCAGAATATAAAAAAAAACACAAAATATAAAATTTGGTTGACATAGCTTTAAAAAACAAAGAAGATATTTCAAAACTGACGGATCGTATTTGTGAAAACTATATAATATAGTGGTCCGGTTTGATTCAAGCTACAATATATGTTGTAAAATGGTAGAAAAGCACTATTTATTTAAAATATTTAGGATTGCTATAAAAGCAAAATAGTTCGTGTAAAATCGACCTTTTATTCCTATGGCAGCTATATGATATAGTAGTCTGATTCTGAGGAGGTCTTGTGTAGGTCGTAACAAGTTATAGAATCAGCTCAAGCCAAATTAGTAGTTTTAGTAACAATTAAGTTGTTGAATGTTAAATGCCTGTGGATATAATTATCCGATTAGGATGGTCGTGATCCGATATAGCCAGTTTCGACAAATGATCTGATTGCCGGAATAAGATGGCTTTGTAGAGAATTCGATTTAAAACTGACGAACAGAGGCAGACCTGCCCTCTCGGCGCTACAAATATCAGATCAAACGCATTAAGCCCTCTCGCAAGAGTACAATTATTTGCTTTGTTTAGCATCAAGACGAGATCTATGTTCAGACATTCATTCATTTATGTACTATATACTTGTATATATATGTATGCACATGCATCTATCTATATAATTAAGTACATAAAGCACTCATGAATTGCAAAAACAATCACACATCGGCACTGTGAGCTGTGAACCCGGCACTATTATGGCAATCAAAGGCAATTGTGCTAAATATTGATATCAGGTAGGTAGTGGGGGGAGGTGGAACTGCCAGTCTGGTACTGGACCTGGACCTGAACATGGACCTGGCACTGTGCATATCAGTGTTTACGGTTGTAATAAATACAACAATAACCCACAACAACCATGCATTAAGATTTATGGTGAAAGTCAAGGGTATGTCGCAGTTACAGGTTCGGTAAGGTTGCGAAAAAGGAAAAAAATAAGAATTAAAGTGCAACAGCTTTCTAGTCAATATCTGAGCCGATCTCTCGGTGCGGGCCACCCACTAACTATTGTATATATGTATGTATGCTTAGTTGTTCAAAGAGATGAAGTATCTGTCTATGTATTATGTACATACGAGAGTACACATTTGCTTTTGTCTAAACATCTACTGACAACGTGCTGCTTATCTATAACAATAGACAAACACACATACACACAAATCTATACATATGTATGTATAGTACGTATATACTTGTACATATATGTATGTACGTAAATTTCAATTTACGCTTCGATAAGCGACGGCGCCGTACTGCGAGCTGCGCCGAGCACCGGAGAGACAACGACGCTGTCTGTGGGTTAGACAATCAGCCCGTCCAGGGGCATGACTTGCTATCGTGCGGGACAGCTGGTTCCGCCGTTTCTCTGGTTGACGACTACGGCGACAATGTCTGTAGTTGGTTGGTTAGCCGTAGCTATTATATTTACTATATACTCTGCACCGAAAGGGTTAAAGGGTATACTAGTTTTGTGCGAATGTATGTAACACCCAGAAGGAGGCGTGGCAGACCCCACAAAGTATATATATTCTTGATCAGTATGACAAGACGAGTCGATCTAGCCCTGTCTGTCCGTCTGTTCGTCCGTCCGTCCGTATGAACACCTGGATCTCAGAGACTATAAGAGCTAGAGACACCAAATTTTGCACAAAGATGCCTTATGTGTGTACGCTATACGAGTTTGTTTTATTTTCTTGAATCCCCCCGCCCCCACCCCCCTTCACTTCACACCTATGGGGGTTTTTCCGATTTTTCATTCGTATAGTCGCCTATATCTCGGAGACTATAAGACCTAGGAACACCAAATTTTAGTCCAAGATGCCTTTTGTGAATACACAGAAAATGAGCATTTTGGAATTTCCCTCCCTTCCTTGCCCCCTCTCCCACGCATTCACTGATGTTCCATAACTCCCTTAATTCTTTGAATTTCGAACTCAAAATTTGCAAATACCCCTAGTTAGTGATTGTGTCCGTTTGCCAAGTTTCCCATTTGGCAGGAAGTATTGCCGTAAATATATTTGCTGCCCAAGCGCTGCCCCCAGCTGTTATTGATGCTGGTGCTTTGGTTGACTGCAAACATGTTCACACAGACACGCATAGACATGCACACACTCACATAGATGGTAATTGCTATGTAAATGTACAATTGTGAGTTCGAATACCGAGAGGTAAAATCGATCAACAATTTTTTTTTTAATTTTCTTAATATTTTTAATTTCTATAATTTTATTTTAAACATACGTACAGAGTATTTAGCTTCTCTATTTGATTAAGGTTATTTATTTTTAAAATTTATGCAAAGGTGTAATCATGTGCTCGTCATTATAATTGGATTAACATTTTTGAGTTTATTTCTAAACTATCATTGAAACATTAATTACTATAATACGAGTATAGCCGAAAGTTCGTTTAAATGCTGTTCAAAAATTAAAGAATTCGATTAATTAATGCTGACTTCACTTTTTACTCAGATATAGTAGATATAGTATAGTTTAAACATTTTCGGATATTGGAAGTATTCAACAATTTCCATTTCGCATAATTATATTGAATTAGGGTTGGAATATATATTGGGTTTTTATACCCTGTACCCAAAGGGTACAAGGGTATATTAGTTTTGTGCGAGTGCACATGGAACACACAGAAGGAGGCTTGGTAGACCCCACAAAGTATATATATTCTTGATCAGCATGACAAGCCGAGTCGATATAGCCATGTCCGTCTGTCCGTCTGTCTGTCTGTCTGTATGAACGCAAGGATCTCCGAAAGTATAAGAGCTAGAATAACCAAACTTGGTATACAGATTCTCCTGAGACCGAGAAAGGACGACTTTGTTAATTTTTTCTGATCCGCCCCCCCACTCCCCCCCTATTACTGATTTTCTATAACTCCCGTAATTCTTGGAATTTTGAACTAAAATTTGGTAGTCACATTAGGTTAGTAATTATATATCCGTATACCAGGTTTCATTATGATAGAATGATCGGAAAGAAAGTTATAGCCATATAACCAGGCCCAATGCACACATACATACATATGTGCAAGTACACAAACACGCATAAGGCACGATTCTGATGGAAATGTAAATGTATGTATGCATGCATGGAATATTTTATATTTAATTTAGTTAATTAATTAAATTAATTACTTTTTTGTGGGGTGGTACAGGGTATTTAAGAGTTGAGCCTGCTCGACTTTAGCATTCCTTTCTTGTTTTATAAATGCGTTCTCAAAATAGATTTGTTTTGAAGACCTTCATAGTCCCCTTAATTGTGGTTGACATTCATGTGAAGTCCTTGAGACCATTGTCTGGTATTTAGAGGTGTAGTTTGCTTTGCTTATCGTTAACGGCATCATTAACTGTTCAGCCCGCAACATGGGTGTCAAAATTTCCATATGCTTGAAACCACAAACATATTAACGCGATATTTGTGTGTCATAAGTATCTGTACATACAAATACTATATACTATACTATATGTATATGCACGCAACGGAAAATCAATAAAGATATTTATCAACGAACTGTGCGTAGTTAATGGCGATGCCAACAGGCTAACCCAAGGCTATTGTGTTGCAACAACCCACACACTCCCACACCCACTCCCACACACATCCATCCCAATTGGAATATGAAAAGTGTTGCTTGTACTCACTTGTTCGTTATCTCGAGGACATCGGACAACATTAGGCGATATTTTTTGCGGAATTGCAGACCGTGCGGCGTCTCCAGCAGGTACTTGTTGCAGAAGTCCGTTAGCGAGATGAAGTAAATGAAGCCCAGGGAGAAGAGGAAGAGGCCGCGCTGCAGCGTTAATCGATCTGTCGTATTTGGTATTTGCAAAAGGCTGCCACAGGCCAAGCCCATCGAGCCAATGGAGAAGGCCAGCGAGAAATAACAGCCCCGTCCATGCAGCGGGGAGGATATCTGGGGCTCCGCCATGTTCATGTCCTTGCCATTATCCATGAGCTGACCGTTCGAGCGAACTTTATTGCTTTGGCTTTTATGTGTGTGCATTGCAGCAATTGTTGTTGTTGTTGTTGCTATTGCTGTTTAGACGTTCTTTAGTTGTTGTTGTTGCTGTTACTGCTGCTGCTGTTGTTATTGGTTTTATTGTGGCTCCTATAATTAGCCTTAGATTCAATGCTGTCCGGACACGGACACAACCTGTTGCCTGGATGTTGCTGCCTCAGCTGCCTCAGGTCTCTAGCTCGTATTTGGTGTGCGTTGTGTTACTCGTGGAGCATTTTTGCCAACTGAAAGTGCAAGCCGAAAAGTTATCTAAGTTGCAGTTATGAATTGCTGGCATGCCACTAACACACACACACACACACACACACACACACACACACAGACACACAAGCAAACACGCTCTCACACAGATATGGACATGCACACCCACGCTCGAATGTATTTGCAGCGAATGCAGCGCGCACACTCGTGTGTGTATCCCGATTGTGCCCAGCAACTAGGATGGTGCAGCAGAGTGTCCCTCTAGCCACACCCACAATGTTGCACCGGCACCATCCGAACCCAAACCCCACGCTCTAGGCCCACTAGTTCTGACCAAAGTGAAGATGGTCTGTCAGGATTTAGTTTCTTAAGCGGAAGCTTTGTCATAAGCAAGCAGTACAAAGCAGTGCAACGTCATTCTCATACTACAAAGAGTTTGCGAAATAAATTTGAACAGTCTGCTAATTAATCAAACAGTCAGTCTCGACATTAGTTAGTTAGTTAGTTATTAAATTGGTTGAAAGTAAATTTCATGAACAAGCAGTAGAACCTAAAGTTTCCGAAATTTCTTTGTCAATCAATTTATACAGGCAGTGCCAAGCAGTGTTACTTCCTTCTTGCAATGATCGAGTCTGCGATATAAATATATTTGAACAGTCTGCTAATCAATCAACCAGTCAGTCTCGACATTAGTTAGTTAGTTAGTTATTAAATTGGTTGAAAGTAAATTTCATGAACAAGCAGTACGACTTAAAATTTGCGAGATTTATTTATCAAGCAATTTATACAGGCAGTGCCAAGCAGTGTTATTTCCTTCATGCAATGATCGAGTCTGCGATATAAATATATTTGAACAGTCTGATAATCAATCAAACAGTCAGTCTCGACATTAGTTAGTTATTAAATTGGTTGAAAGTAAATTTCATGAACAAGCAGTACAACCTAAAGTTTCCGAAATTTCTTTGTCAATCAATTTATACAGGCAGTGCCAAGCAGTGTTACTTCCTTCTTGCAATGATCGAGTCTGCGATATAAATATATTTGAACAGTCTGCTAAACAATCAATCAGTCAATCTAGACATTAAAAAGAGCTAGTTTTCGAATTGGTTGAAAGTACATTTAAAGTTGAGCGATTAGTGTTATTCATGAACAAGAAGTACGACTTCAAATTTGCTAGATTTCTTTGTCAATCAATCAATACGGCAGTCTGTAAAATCTGGAAGAATTAACAAGCAGTGTTCGTTCTTTCTGACATTGATCGAGTATACATATAATTGGAGAGTCTGAAAAACAATCGATTAGTCAGTCTCGACATTAACAGTTAAAGTTCCCGAGTTGTGTGTTTAAGGTGAGCAAGCAGTTGCACTTTTCTACACTGATCGAAATTTAGGCCAAATTTACTCAAGCCTTTTCACAAATAATTCGTTTTTAAATGTTCTGTCTCTACAGTGATTTGAATCAAAATTAATTCCCATTCTTCCTCAACAAAACAAGAGTTTTGCACTATTGAAAACTATTATTACTTCAATATATTATATTGTGAAGCTTCAAAAGGGTTGCCTAATCATATATTTGGATTGTTTTTGAACACTCGATTGATTCAAAGCAGTTCATCCAAACTTTGACGGCTAGACATACGGTTATAATTCGTATGTACCACTGTAAGTCCCTAATCTAATATTAAACGAAAATGTTCATGAAAAATATTTTTTTTAAGCAAATCTGAATTGCTATTGAAATTACTTTTGAAAAGTAAACGGAATTAGCACTGTGGTTTATTTGAACTGAAAATTTTAAGTTAAAAATTTCATTGATCGGAACAGTTTTCATTCACGTTGCACTCAGGGGAATTTGTGCTTCTCAAAAGTCTCAGAAATACATATTTTGTAGAATGTAAATACAATACACTTGAGAAGTATTATTGATAACTGTCGTGAGTGCAAGTTATAATATACTTAGTATAGATCGACTGTGATCGAGCTTGGAGAAGCTTCTTGAAACAATTGTACTTATAAGAATGATAAGAACACTGTCTTGAGTGCATCATAATTCTAGTCTGATCGAGAATGATCAAAGATTAACAAATTGGAATACCTTACATTTCAGTTCTAGAAACATTCGTACCTAAAACAAATCCATGAATGAAAGATTAACAAATTAGAATACCTCACATTTGAGTTCTAGAAGCATGCATATCTAAATCAAATCAATGAATTGTGATGAGAGAGAGAGAAAGACGTAAGCGCTGTGGAAATATCACGCCTTCTCTCGGCTGCTTTCTTTTTCTCAGTATTTTGACACCTCAAGGATTTATTTTGCGACTTTTCCTTGTTGTGTTATAATTCCAAACTGAGTTTTTTCATTTAAATTGTAACTGTGCTTTGTTGGGGACTATGCATCATCGGAAAAAGTAACACCTTTGAAAAGTGATTTAAAAAAAAATAACCGCGAACAAATGTGAGCTTGTGCCGTGCTTCTAATTTACGTACATTTCTTCTTCTTCTGTTTTGGCGCAAATTAAACCGCAACAGAATTTTCGAGATCAAAAAGAGAATATTTTATATAAAGACGTTTTCGGTGAGCTTACGTTTTTTATGGACTTATCTACACCTTATCAATTCTCTACAGTGGATTTTAATTGTAATAATGAGTCATTTGAGCAAAAATAAAATTGGTATTATCTTAAAAAGTATTGCTGGAAATTAAATGAAAAACATGAACGACTCAATGTAGGAACATTAATTCAGTCGAGAGACTATTTTATCTTTGTATATTACATATATCGCAATCTTAATGTTGGCTTATATAGCCTAGAATGTCTAGTTTTTTCTGCAAAAACATAAATGCCGATAAGTATCATATTGTATTCATATAACAATCAGCTCTTATCTAGATGCCTTACATAAGCAAACGGGAAAGGTAATCATTTAGAGCCAAATAGTAATAATGTTAGGTAAACAGTGTTCGATTTTCGTGCCGCTTTAGACAGCTTGAAACAACGATGTATTACTTTGGAAAGAGAACGATTCGAGATACCCTAATTGAATTGCTAAATAAGAAGCGCCCGAGCCAATTGAGGTCATAAAACCAATTCATTATCACATTAACTCGCTTCAGAGAGACGTTTCACTGTTGCAATCAAAGTGTTGCTGCTATTTGGCTTTTCTTTATAGGGTTTCACGCCCATCTCTAACCGGAGTCCGGAGTCTGCCTTATCGCCTGACGCCGTCCAGTCAACGGACCGGAACCAAAAGTGTGTAGCGCACGTCGGCTTATCACTTCAAAATATGTTAGCTAGACAATTGGGTCGACGTGAGGGCGCGACTTTGGCGTTCAATTTCAAATCAACCCAGTTTGTAGGCTCTAAGTTACGTGCTTTGGTCAGGACTTATCTTATCTGCAGGTGAGTGTAAATTTTGTCTCTACATACATATATGTAGGTATGTACATAAGTACTATGTATATGCATGCATTACTCCGACTTATCGGACACACTGCTGAATACTGTTTAACATTATTATGCAAGTCTGTTACACTTGAGGAGTTCATGGGCCGCCGCATGTGAAAATACTGCTTTGACGCACTGTTGGGCAAGTCACGCGTGTGTGTTTCAAGTTTTTACTTTTTATTCTCAGTTCATTGTTGTTGTAATTGTTGTTTTTGTTTTGCATGAGAATGCAAATGAGCAAATTGAAGCGGGCAATAGCCGCATCTGACAGCCAAAGCGGGACGGTACGGGGGTTAGATGTGTATGTACAAATATGTATATACAAGTAGGTATATAAAAATGAGTAAACAAACATAATTTGAAAGTGCAAAATCCGAAAGTGAGGTAAATAGCAATTTCAATTCAATTTGTATGCAAATATAAAAAGCTTTTCAGCCTCAATATACATACCTGCATACACACATACATATGCATGTACATACCTACAAGTATTTACATAGTACGTAGGGCAAATTTTTTTCTAATGTGCAACAATGTATATGGCTGAGGCCAGAGGGAGGGCGGACAGCGCTGGAGAGGCAGGGTAAGTGAGCGCCGCGAGCGTAATGAAAACAAAAGTCACACACACACAACCACTCTGTGAGAACAATGCACACATACGTACATAGATGGGTGAAGAAGCAAAAACATACATATGTATGTATGTATGGTATATAAAACAAAATGTGGGTCACACACACGCACACACATGCATGTGAGAATTGGCCAAATTCCCAATAAGAGCACAGCGAAACACGGCAGCACATTAAATGCAGTCGCAATTGCATTAACAGCAATTGTTGGCCAATGTTGCGGTTTTGGCCATATATGTGTGTACATATGTATGATGCATGTAAAGAAAACGTCGCGCGCGCGCGCGCTCTTTTAAACAACAACATTGCGGCATAAAGAATTATGCACAGAATTGGACAATATTAGCATCATCAGCTGATCTGCTGCGCTCATTTCGTCAAGTTTGTGAGACAATCAATGGATATTTATAAGTTTTATGTCACTTTCATTTATTTGAGAGCCGCCCACACACTCGCACACATACACACTATCACTGCTAATATTACTGTACATATGTACGTATGTTTATATAGATGTATGCATGTACATTGACGCAGCAGCCGCATTTCACACGCACACACACACACACACGCCATGGACCAAGAACGATTATGCAATTGTTGAATGTGGATGTGCGTTGGCACAAGAATAACAAGAACGGTATACAATTGTTTAATTAAGTGTTTATTAAACAACAATAACAACAACACACGCGTGATCTAATCTTGCCGATACACACTGTTATAGACACACACACACACAGGCACTCACACTTCCAACCAAACGACGCCTTGCATGTTTTTGCGGTTCTGCATTTGCCGGGTCGGCAAAGATTGCACTTCATTTGTTCAACCGACAAGATAAGAGCACCAGAAAAAAATCCAAAAAATTTCAAAACACATGCTCACATTCACTCATAATTTGCACGTTGAACGTCGCATTTAACACACAGCTAAGGCAAAATAATCTTTATTGCAAACAAACCACGCACAGCTGAAGCTGAACCGACTGCATTGAAGTACAACAGCAGACTCACCAATACAATTGTGCGCCAGTCCGGCCACTCTGAAACATTAATTTTGACAAGGGCTGCCAGTGCGCGTAACTTAGCTGTATGGCAGCAATCGGGTGACTGATATCGATGCCACGACAACAAATGAAACTATCGATAGCTTAACAGTTGGGAGCAAGTACTTTTCAGTTGTCAGTCGAACAAAAATGGCGAAAGAGTTGAGTCGTACGTGCGCGGTATTCGCATTTCTATTAACTATTTGCGGTTCATTACAGTGCGTAAAAGCAGCATGTAAGTTTACACACAAATCACCTAGCCGAGAAACATTTAGAGTAAAAAAAAGGCAGCAATACGTTAATGCGTCTATTTGTGCGCGCCCTCTGTGACTTACTATTATGCCGTACCTGTGTGTGTGTGTGAGTGTGTGTGCCAGTCGTCTGGTCTCTCTGTGTGTGTGGTGTGCTGTGTGTGCTGCGCTTGTGTATGTGTGCAGTTGCAAAAGCACTGCTGCAGTGTATTTTGTTGTTGTTTTTCTTTTACACAGCACACCAATTCTTTTTTCACTTTTTTTTGTCGCCGTCATCGTTGTCGTCGATTGGCCCGCGCACCACCTTAAAAAACATAATATAAAATTAAATTTAAAGTATTTGCGTACATACACACGACTGTATATACATAAATGTGTACATATGTGCACATACACATACTATATGCCTATGTATATTGGTTGGTTTGTACACAAAAGTCAAATACATATGTACATACATACAATACATATGTATGTATGTATGTACGTACCCATGCATTAATGACAAATCATCATATAAGCAAAAACAACGACGACTCTTCTGCTCTGACGTTTTATTTGGTGAAATTTTGGTGGTTCCACTGCTGCTGTATTTTTGTTTTTGTTGTTGCTGCCAATTTTATTAAATGCGTTAATTGACAGCGAAGAAATGTGACGGCGCAATCAAGTGTGAAAATACAAGTGCCCACGTATCGAGCAATAACACTTATCTGTGCTCTCAGTTACAAATAAAAATGCTACAAAATCCTTACTCCCACCCCCACTCCCACCCCACCTTCAACGATTGCCTTATTTATAAACTTTTTGTGCTATATGATCGCCATGCCCCACTTATCGTGCAACTATTTCAACCATCAACAAAAACAGCAGCAGTCGGCTACAATTGCAGTCGCGTTGGATCTCCTTTCCTTCGTCTTCTGGCTGGCTCACTGACTTACTTACTTGCATATTTCAATTGAAATTTGTGGCGCATTTTTATTAAAGACAAAACAAGAAAACAAGAAACAACAAAAAAAACCGCAAATGGCGCCGCTTATTGTTTCTACTTGTTGTTGCTACAATGTCGTCGTCAGCGGCATTCACGACGTCGTCGAAATTTCGCGCTAGTCACAGCTTAAAATTTAAATAAATGAAAAAAAAGGAAAAAAGAGACTACGAAAAAATGAACTATCTTGGAGCTGGCAACACTCGGTTCTAGTTAAATTTTTTGGGCTTTGTTGAGTTGTTTTTTTTTTCTTTGCTTAATGTGTTGTCTTTTTTTGCTGTTTCTTTCATTTATCTGTGTGGCAGGTGGCAACCTTGCGCCCCATGGCGATCAGCAGCGGCAGCAGCTGCTGACCAAAGTGCCGTTAGTTGTCGACTAGGTCTGCACTTTGCATTTTGTCTTGCATACATTTTTTATATATGTACATACATATGTGCATTTGTATACCCTGCATCTAAAGCGTTAAAGATCAAGTAAGTGTATGTGGCTGGCAGAAGGAGGAGGAGTGGCAGATTCTATGAATCAATGTACACAGACATGTCCCTCTGTCCGTCCGTGTGAACAGTGAGAACATGTCCATCACCATCACAGCTAGGGACACCAAACTTGGTCTGTAAACTTGTTCTATTCGTAAGCAGATGGGCAGTTTTAAATAAAAACACTCTGCTAATACAAAAATATATATACAGGGTGCGCCATCTTTTATGTCGGTATGTAAACATTGAATATCTTTGAAAATAAACAACCGATTTTCAAGTATGAGATATTTTTATTTAATTTGGTTCTGTACAATTTCTTGAACTGAGGTTTTCAACACTGGTCTACTCAAGTTAATCGGTTCACTAATGACAAAGTTATTCAATATTTACATACCGACATAAAAGATGGCGCACCCTGTACTTGTATATATACATATATTTACTTATATATATATCGCTTCATTATTTTATATAGCTGCCATAGCACCGATCGAAATTTAGCTTTGTAGAAACAATTTGTTTGTATGTATAAAGATATCTTAACCAAATATATTGCAATATTTGGAAAAAGCCATAAATTAAAAATTTCAAAATTTCTAGAAACAATTGGTGTAGAACTCAAGCTTAGTAGCAAAAACTCTTCTGTTTTTCTTTGCAATATCAAAACCAAATAAAGTATTTTAAAGTGGTTTTAATACCTATAATCTGAAGCTCAATCAAAGTCGATGCGATCAAAAACAAATGCAATCCCAAAGCCAAAAACTCGTTTGTTTATAACAATATCGTAACCAAATCCTGCACTTGACTTTTTTAAACATCGAAATTGTTGGATTATATATAAACGATCGGGGAAAAACTTACTATGGGAACTAAAACGTTTCTGTTTATAATATCGCTACCGCTTTCGATATTTATAAGTCATAGGAATGAATGCTGCGCCAAAGTTTTCTTTAGTCGATGCAGGTCTATAACGAAAGAGTGGGTTCGGTATAGGGTACACTGAGAGTCGAACTGGCGTGACCTTACTGTTCTAGTCGTCAACTTTGAGCCCATTTGTAGCGTTCTTATTACAGTGTCTTATTGTAGTTGTTGCTGTAGTAATCACCCAACGCTTACGTACATCCATCTGTCTATATAACTGACTGGTAATGGTTGGTTGTTGTTGTTGTTGTTTTATTTTATTTTTTCACTGGCTGGTGCGCATCGCTGCCGTTGACTTGTGTTTCAGCTAACTGCACACACAAACACATTTGTGTCTATATACTATGCATATATACAAGTAGTAGTATGTACTGTGTATTAACGCATACTGATCATGTTGATGTTGTTGTTGCTGTGAGAGGAGCTGCCTGTATTGATACAGTTGCGTTTGGGTTTTCTTTGTCTGCAGGCAGGCAGGCAGGCAGGCATTTAGAGCCGACCACCACCAATCACCCAACCAGTCACCAGCCAGCCAGCCAGCCACCCACTTTATCGTGCCATTGCTTTGTTTTAAAGCGCGCATGAGTGAGTGTGTGTATTGTATATACATACATACATATACAGACATAATTAAATACATATGTATGTCTGTATTTGTTGTTGACTACACATGTGGTTCAAAATCAATTAGTTGCACAGGCACAGGCACAGCACAAACCATGCCCATCAACATTAACAGCAAACAAATGAATGACAGCCAACCACCCACTCTGCCACTGAGCCACTGAGGCGGCAGAAGAAAGAAAGTGTTGGGCATATTTTACACTCATACGAGTATTGTGTCAGCCTGGTCAATAGAGCCGGCGTTATGCGATTACTAAGCACGCAGCAGCAGCAACAGCAGCAGCCAGCAATCAAGTATCTGCGGTATCTGTATCCAGTAGCTATGCCCCAGAGAATGTTGTGTGTGAATTTATCGGGTCCGTCCGTGACTGGCACTGGGTTTATCATTGCCGCTGCTCTACTGCTACTAGCTACTGGCTACTGTTGTTGTTAGTGCAGAGCTTTGTTTTGTCTTTTATTCGCTTGACCATTTGATCTTCTCCCTGCTTAGCATATGCACGTTATTATGAATGAAATCTCTGCTCTATTGCAATGTTTTGGAATGACTAACGTTTTGTTACTGTTGTTGTTGTATCAAATATCCATGCCAAACTATGTACACTTCTAAGCCCGTTCTTTCCATGTCTCTTCCATTTGGATTGACGGATACTGGCGGTTGCCAAAGGATCAGATAGGCGAAGTGACAATTTAACGATGTTTACAGTGGTTGTTAGAGCTTGGTTACTAAATTGTAAGGTTGCTTCATCCAAAAATAACAGTTGAAATCGGGATACAAACGACTAGAGTACTTGTAGAGACTACCAGTTTTGAAAATGCATCACAATATTTCATTAAATATTTTCATTGATCGAAGCACTTTTATAGATTCTTTCTAATATTTGTTGTTTCTCCTATGGCTTCTACAAAACTACAATGAGTCAACCGATTATTCGTATTAACATTAAAACTACTATTTCGTCTTTGTAGATCTTCATACTTATCTGTTAATTGATGTAAATTACAGAATGTGATCATTATGTTATCTATCTTTGTTGAGATCAATATAAAGTGATTGGTTGAAGGTCGATTTCAATGAGTAAATACGGAAAATGCACATTGAAAATTGTGGCTTATAAGTGTCTTTCTCTTAAATGTTTATACTAAAAAACACATACCAGCTCTTATAAAAATTCCAAGAAAATTCGAAGTAAAGTTTGCTGTGTGATGATAAATTTCTGGAATTTGCAACAATGGGGCCTCCGCTGCAAATACAAAGAAATATTGTGAAGAACGCAATAATCACCGACATTGTTGATGATAAAGAAATTAAACTTATCAACTATTGAGCTATCAATTGCAAACAAAGCTATTTTTAGCCATATTTAGATTGAATCAAATGTTAAAAAAAAACTGGAATATTCCACATTGCTTTTAGATTTGGCTTTTTGTTTTAAAAAAGAGATTTGATCTGCGATAAATACTTGGCTAGCGCCGTAGACTGCAAGACACTCTAAAAAGGTTCGCAAGCCGAATGTTCAAATCTCTTTAGGATTTATAAATCAGTAAATGGAATGTTCCAAAGAGAGGAGTCTATTAAAAATAAAAAAAAGCCTTGACTTGATCTCAATCGGATTTAGTAGCTTCTAAACTTACTGAGAGCCACATCACCATTCTCGGTGGCACACTTCATCTGCTTTCTAACTTTCTGTCTGCAATTAACTGAAGCTTAGCTTTTGGCGAACTTTGCCCTTCAACTCGGCCCGTTGCCAAGCACTTCTGGACTCAGCAATGGAAACGATGAGGCACCTGCACGATTGCACCTTATTGTTTGTTTACTTGCTGCCTTCTGCAGGTGTAGAAAAATATAAGGGAAAAAAGGGCAAAATACTCCAGTATTTGCTACTTGAGAAATTGAAGCTTTTGCAAACATTAGCAGAAAGATAAACCCGTTCCCCCACGACCCGAAGACTCGTTATTTTCTTTTTTGGAGTTTATG